CCCCCCCCCCCCCCTCTCGGCGGCCCTGACATTAATATCAATTTATATTTACAGTATAGGTAAAAGTTCACATTATGTTATTTTGAAAAGTTCATTATATTAACTTTTTAATAACAATGAAGGTATTCGTGTCATTTTTAATATATGGTATAAAATATGTTCCTTATTATGAGTATTCCCTATCACCTGACATATAGAGTGTACCAAAAACCAAATACTTCAGGATTATACAATTTTCATCCCGAAGGTGGGAGAATTTTGCCCAGGAATTTTGTCAGTTTTTTCAAATTTTGTCAATTTTGTTAATGTAAAAATGTCAAATGTCAACTATCCAGTTCGCTACTTTTCAAATCAGTGAAGCTTACCGTGGTTGATAGTGGTGTTCAGCGTCGAGGTTTATTTCGATATCATAAGCCATCTCGATATAAGGGACCACATCGGAAATCTCATCAAATGACATATCGCCACCACTACGTAACTGATGTAGAATCTGTTGCATCCATGTTGTGCCGCATTTAGGTGGAGTCACGACGAACACGTCATCTGGTCGAGGTTTAAAACTTAAACCATGCCTTCTTCCTTGCTCTGTTTCCGAGCTAGATAACCTTTGTTTCAGGAGCTGCACACCTGAACTTCCATCTCCAGATTTCTCAAAAGGCATTGTCAGAAAAGCTACCACAAAATTTAACAGAGAAATTGGCTATATCTGTGTATTGTTTATATTATACTACGGCACGTGATTGGCTGATTTGTGGTCACGTGACTTCAGATAAATGCAATCTATCTTACTGTCGTTCCTCAAATATTGATTCAATACATTACCTCAGGCTGACCAATTCCTTTCATCAAGTTCCTCGAGATATTCATACACTTGAATATCTCGAGTGTATGAATATCTCGAGGAACTTGATGAAATGAATTGGTCAGCCCGAGGTAATGTATTGAATCAATATTTGAGGAACACTTCAATTAGAACGACAGTAATGGCTTCGAAACCGGACGGGACGAAGAAAATCAGGACTCGAGAAAAACCCGGACTTGACTTTTGAAAACCCGGACTCGAAATAGAAAAACCCCGGATTCACACCAAGGACTCTGTGTATGGGAATGCAAAGGTTTTTTTGGAAAGGTTTAATATTAAATATAGTTAACATGATAAACGATGATCTCTTTACCGATGATCTCTTTATAACAATAATCAGTATAAATAAATTTCTAGAATGCTGTTAAACTATCTGGTGTAGTGCTGATAAAGAATCTGAGTTGCATCGGTAATAATTCACGGATTTGTGCTCTCGCGCGGGTGTCCCTCTCTCTCTTCCCGCTTTCTATATTGATATATATATATATATATATATATATATATATATATATATATATATATATATAGGCCTAGAATACTTTAATATTTCAAAAGCAATAAGCTTTGGTTTTGAAAGATGTAGATAATTTTTTTCTTCTAGTGACTCAGTGTTATGTGTCATGTGAGGATACTAAGGGAGTGGTCATTATTTATGGGGAGGGGGGTTGGGAAATGGGAGAGGGGGGGCAAACGAAGTTTTACCCTTATAAATAGGGGGGTCAAAAAAGTTTTAACACAGAGAAAGGGGGGGGTCATAAAAGTTTTTGACTTCTATAATCACAAATAGCAAAAAAGAGGACTCTGAAAATGCTATTTCCAATTAACGATCTAGAGACTCAAAATTTTCAAAATTTCCCTGCTCGGCGCCAACCATGGTGGCGCCTCGCGACCGTTGAGCCCACTAAGTTTAACAAGCTTTCTACCCCCTGAGTGACCCAGTTGTGGTATTTACATAAACATACCATGCAAGTACTTAACTGATCAGATTCGGTCTATCAACGCACAATGTAACGCTGTATATCCAAAAATCTGTTTCAGAAAATGTTCACATTTCAGTTCTAGGAGTGGAAAAATACAAAAAGTTTTCTGGGGGAGAATACCCCCAGACCTCCCTACTAGTACATACGATGCCACACCAAACTTTTTGTCACCAACAACCATATGTCATCTCTCCACACTCAATATAGTATGGTCCCTTTTTGTAGATGCCCACCCCCCAGACAAGTTCTTAAAAACAAACTTGTGTTCAAATCATTTTGCTGCCTGAAGACGGGCCATGGATTAGGGTTATGGTAGGACAAATGTTGCATTCCAAATTAGTAACACATAATATATATTTTTTAATCATATATGGTTGAATCATATTCACCAGGGTAAAACATCATGAGCTAGATTAAACGGATTGTCCTAATATCTAACTTTACCTGCAACGCACACCTGTTTCATTGCTGTTAATTTTTCAATCCACACTGGGGGGGGGTCAGAAAAGTTTCTACTTTTATGAGGGGGAGGCACAAAAATTTTTTCAATCCTTATTTTCCCCATTTCCCCCCCCCCTCCCCATAAATAATGACCAGTTGACCAATCCACGATCCGCTCTACAGTTTCAGATTCAACTTTCAGATTCAAATTCAGATTCAAATTTGAATCTGAAACGGGGTCAATTGTCGCGTACAAAATGTAGAATTACTCTGTCTCTTTTCACAGAATAAACGTAATTCGTCAAGGATATCCATCTTCAGACTATCGCGCATTTCAAAAAGCTATATTTTAATTTTTACCTCATAATGTGAAGCCAGGAAAAATCGCAGAAACTACACGATCAACGCGTGAATTCTTACTGCGCCATGTTTGTCTTAAGCTGTCGGCAAAATTATTTTTCGCTGTGTATCGCAAAATACGCGTGTAGTTCCCTAATTTCTGAAAGACATTCATTAGTACACTATAGTAAATTGTATAAAGAAAACTGGGTCTTAAAAACGTTACTTATTTTGTCAGGAAAAATCGCAAATCGTAGATCATGAGACACGGCTTTTGTAACCTGAAGCGAACGTCAACAACGCAGCTGAGAGAATAAACACTTCTCACGCGTCAAACGCTCACTTTGGAATATTCGTCTGCGAAAGACATTCATCTACAACTATCACAAAATGATACAACGCACTTGTTATTTTCAAACAGCTTGTTGTTTTGGCAGGAAAACTCGCAAAACACAACCGCTGTTGGAATCGAAAATCCGGGCGGGCATTAAGACTTTCATGCCTTCGCAATGAATCTTCACCAGTTGACTGTAAATTATGGTCAAGTCTAAAATACTTTAAAATTAGGCAAATATTTCTCGCGTAAAAAGGGCTTGGAATCGTTCTTTGGAAGAACGATAGGATATCAACCCCCCGGATTTTATTGTTTCAGATTCAAATTTCATAATAACAATCTCAGTGCGTATAATATAACAATCTTTTGCGATCTTTCCTGCGCATATGCGTTGCCGAATCGCAATAAGAACCAGACAGAATGAAGCGCACAATAATGTAGATGAATGTCCTTCTTTGCGGTATCTGCTGGTTTAATACATTGAAGGATTTACGCAGACTAACGCTGTTTCAGCTAGAATCTGAAACTGGATCTGAATCTACATGAAATTTGAATCTTAACGAAAAATATCCGGGGGCGGCTGACATCCTATCGTCCTTCCATATACACGATTCCAATTTCCAAACCCTTTTCTGCGAAAAGTACAGGGCCGTTTTTGAGCATATCAACATTTAGTCATAACTCCTAGTCAGCTAGTGAACATTTGTTGTGAAGACAAATTATACTTGGTTTATATCAGTCTAAACGAACGTTTGGGAAAGTATTAATGGCCGCCCGGATTTTTGAATTCAACACATGTTGTGTTTTGCGATTTTTCCTGCCCAAACAACAAGTTGTCCGACGATAAAAAATGCGTTATAGGATTCTATGACAGTCGTTGATGAATATTTTTGGCAAAAGAATCTTCCAAATTTAAAGCATGCCGCGTGAGAAACATTTCTTCGGTTCACTTTGCAGTTGACCTTTGCTTCAGGTTGTAAAATCTATAACTCGTCTGTTGTGTTTTGCGATTTTTCCAGAAAAGTGTAAACTCAAACTCTTACGCTTCTTCATATCATCGGATTTAATGCATTAAAAGATGTCCTTCTTGAAAAGGTTTGATAACGTGCCTTTATCTATTAAAAAATGAGGACTAATTGGACTATGTGTGAAATTTTCACGCTTCACTCCAGATGCAGACATTTGTCCAATTAGTTGCATGCGTTAGCGCATCGCGTTAGCGCATTGCATTGCGTTAGCGCATCGCATGCTCAAAGACCATGTGCATTATGGATAACGTTTGGATTTGTGAGTAATACTTGTGTTTGATTGGGCATTACGAAAACATCTTTCGTCACCGTGTCACGCTTGATATTCTTGTCTATTGCACCACAGCACGTATGTCGTCATTTTTCAGGTCAGTGTGACGTCTTGTTTGCATGAGAGTCGCTTTGGAGTGATTCCAAAGAAAAACAAACCGCGCGGCGTTTGATTTGAGACATGTCGTTTCCAGCTGACCACAGCGTGAACGATGGGATTTAAAAACGAATCTCCAGTAGTTTATGGTACTGTACAAGATGCCATCCGAGTAATAGTAATGGGCAAATGGACACCCAAGGATGTACTGTATTATCCACATGGTACAATTGATTTGTGTCAACATTGCTTAGCTAATTCGTTACCTTTTCAATCACTCGATGATTTAGATTACGAATTTACTGTCTCAAACGGAATCAATATCAGTGAAGAAGAAATGGATAGACTAATGCATTTGAAATTCAACCCTTTCGACACGAGTAATAATATTGCGCTATCTGAAAACAACGCAAATCTCGATAAATCGTCAAAAATAAACTGTGAATATTATCTACCAAATAATTTTAAAAAACAAATAAATAATGAAAATCTCAATAACTTTTCGATGATGCACTTAAACATTAGAAGCATAACTAATAAATTTGACTCTTTTAAACAATTAATATATTCATTGAATAAACCGTTTCAGATAATTGGTTTAACTGAAACTTGGCTAAAAGAAACTAACGAAGATCTATTTAAACTAGAAAATTATGATTTTGTAAATGTAAACAGGTCAACTAAAAGTTGTGGAGGAGTTGGCATTTATGTCGCAAATGAATTGAAATACAAAATACGCTTCGATTTAAACACAATTACTGAAAATGTAATTGAATCCGTTTTCATTGAAATTATAACAGCTGTAGGTAAAAATATAATAATAGGTGTAATATATAGACCACCAAATAACAAATTTGACTCATTTGAAACTAAAATGAATCAAATACTAGGAAAGATAGACAAAGAAAACAAATTATGCTATCTTATGGGAGATTTCAATATTGATCTACTAAAATCAGAATCTTGTGATTACAGTATCAGATTTCTAGAACAACTATTCACATCATCATATATCCCACTTGTACTAAGACCAACAAGAATCACTCAGCATACGGCTACACTAATTGACAATATTTTCACCAATGACACGGAAATTATAGAATCAAGCAAAAATGGGATAATTTTTTGCGATATCTCAGATCATTTACCAATAGTTCATGTACGAAATTCAAAAAATTACCATAAAAAACTTCAAAAACTGAATTTTCTTGTAAAAGAATTATCAATGATGCCAATGTTGAATCATTTACTAATACAATTAAGAATATATCATGGGAAAATGTACTTTCTGAAAACAACACGACAGAGTCCTACAACAAATTTTTCAACTTATTTTCAATAGCTTATGAAAAAAACTTTCCATTGACAAAGAAAGGTGCGAAAAGAAAGATTGACAAAACTCGAAGTCCATGGATGACAAGATGTATTGCAAAATCAGTTAAGCAAAAGAACAAATTATATAAAAAATACCTCCAATATCCTACAGGAAAAAAACAAAAAATATGCAAAAAATATAAAAATAAATTAAATCATGTGATAAAAGTGGCAAAAAAGAAATATTATGAAGAACAGTTAATAAATTATAACTACATGATACAAAGGTATTATGGAAAACATTAAATGAAATTATGAACCGAAATAAGACAAATAGAATGTTACCAAAAGAATTTAATGGAAATAGCCCTGGAGAAAAGATTACTGATCCAAACACAATAGCAAATAGATTCAATGACTATTTTGTAAATATTGGCCCAGGACTAGCAAAAAAACTCCCGAATTCCAAAACAACCTTTGATAAATATCTCACTAATAGCTGTAAAAATAGCTTCTTTATTAATCCAATAACTAAATATGAATTAGAAAATGAGATAAACAATTTGAATGCCAAAAAAAGCCCTGGCTATGACGGTATAAGCTCACAGGTAATCAAAGCGATTGCTACAGAAATTTCTGAACCACTTTCACACATATTTAACTTGACTTTTCTTTCTGGAACTATTCCTGATGATCTAAAAATAGCTCTAGTTACCCCTATATTCAAAGCAAACGAAAACAATGAATTTAAGAATTATAGGCCCATATCTGTTCTCACTAGTTTTTCTAAATTGTTAGAAAAGCTTATGTATAAGAGATTAATTAACCACATAGAAAAAAATAACAAAAATAACATATTAACACAGCATCAGTATGGTTTTAGGGAAAATAGATCCACTGAGCTTGCAATCATAGAACTTGTTGACAGAGTTACTAAAGCAATCGATAGAGGAGAATACACGATAGGTATTTTCCTCGACTTGTCAAAAGCCTTTGACACAATTGATCACAAGATATTGATTCAAAAACTTGATCACTATGGTATACGGGGAATAACTCAATTATGGTTTCAAGATTACTTAAAGAATAGAAAACAAATTGTTAAATACAACCAAATTAAATCAAAAGAAATGGTAATTAAGAGTGGTGTCCCACAGGGGTCAATTCTTGGACCAATTCTATTTCTGCTTTATATAAATGATATTGAAAATTGCAACAAATTAATTTCATTTATATTATTTGCAGATGACACTAATATATTTTATAGTAACAAGTGTCTAAAGACACTTATTTAGACACTTAGTAATATTATACAAACAGAAATTGATGAAGTTGCTGAATGGTTAAATGTGAATAAATTATCTCTAAATACTACAAAAACAAGAATAATTTTATTCAGATCTCCAAATAAAAAACCAAGTCAAACCATTAAAATTAACATAAATGGTAAAAATATTGAACAAGTTAAAAGTACAACCTTCCTCGGTATTATCATTGACGAATGTTTGACCTGGAAAGATCATATAGCTAAAGTAGCAAAGAAAATAATTGGAGCTGCTGGTATAATAGCTAAAATACGACATTTCATAAATCGAAATACTCTAAAACTTATATATTATGCATTAGTCTATCCATATTTGATATACGGCAACTTAACATGGGGTAATAGGCTACTTATAAAAGTCGAATCCAAAAAATAATGAACATCCAAAAAAAAATTGTACGTCTAATGACTTTCAAGTCTTATTTAGAGCACAGTGAGCCAATTTTCAAAGATTTAAATATCCTAGACATTTTCAAAATCAATGACTATTTAACTGCCTTATTTATGTTTCGATACCACCACCTTAACAATTTACCAGATTTCTTTAAAAATTATTTTGTAACAAACAACCAAATTCATGAACATAACACGAGAAATGCATCAAAACTTCACAAATGTTATAAAAGAACAAATTATGTAAAACACACTCTCTCAAATAAAGGAGTTGATGTATGGAATTCGTTAGAAACAAAACTTAATGAAGTAAACTCCTATAACACCTTTAAAAAGAAAATTAAACAACATTTTTATGCACAATTACCAATATATAAAACATACTTCTCTAATGTATACTAATGACATATACTTTAGTCTATTGTAGCCCAACATTGTCATTGTAAAATTAAATGCATCTACAACATTACTATTAATTTATATAATACGAACATTCCCAATTCTTTTTCTCTCTTGTAAATATAGTGTATATACTTCAAAACTTTCTGATTTTACATATTATGTATTGATTGACTGTAAATAATCGATTATGTGATGAAACGAACAGTAACTAGAGACCTAAAATAAAAAGTCTATGAAGATTTCTAGTAGGTTTCTAGCCCAACATCTTCAAATTATTGTAATATGTTTTAAGTAGATTTTTAAACATGGGAAAAAAAACCCCAAAAAACAAAACTGTTTGACAAGCCATGTCTGCATGTACAAGAGCAGTCTAAAATAACAATCTTTTGCGATTTTTCCTGCGGACATGGTTTGCTGAATCGCAATAAAAACCACACAGAATGAAGCGCACAGTAATGTAGACGAATGTCTTTCTTTGCAGTATATCTGCCGGTTTATACAGTTGCTGTGGTTGAAGGATTTACGCAGACTAACGCTGTTTCAGCTCGAATCTGAAACTGAATCTACATGAAATTCGAATCTTAACGAAAAATATCCGGGGGCGGCTGACATCCTATCGTTTTCTCATAAAACGATTCCAAGACCTTTTTTGCAAAAGGTATTGGGCTGCTTTTAACATAAATCAAACTTCAGCATGATTTACAGTCAACTGGCTAAGATTCAGTGTGAAGACAAACAAAACATCGCTTATATCAGACTAAACGAACTGTGATGATAATCTTAATGCCCGCCCGGATTTTCGATTCCAACACTGGTTGTGCTTTGCGATTTTTCCTGCCGAAACAACAAGCTGTTTGAAAATAACAAGTGCGTTGTATCATTTTGTGATAGTTGTAGATGAATGTCTTTCGCAGACGAATATTCCAAAGTGAGCGTGTGACGCGTGAGAAGTGTTTATTCTCTCAGCTGCGTTGTTGACGTTCGCTTCAGGTTACAAAAGCCGTGTCTCATGATCTACGATTTGCGATTTTTCCTGACAAAACAACTAACGTTTTTAAGACCTAGTTTGCTTTATACGATTTACTGTAGTGTACTAATGAATGTCTTTCGGAAATTAGGTAACTACATGCGTATTTTGGGATACACCGCGAAATATAAGTTTGTCGACAGATGAAGACAAACATGGCGCAGTAAGAATTCACGCGTTGGCCGTGTAGTTTCTGCGATTTTACCTGGCTTCACATTATGAGCTAAAAATTAAAGTATAGTTTTGTCAAATGCGCAATAGTCTGAAAATGGATGTCCTTGATGAATTACGTTTATTCCGTGAAAAGAGACTGAGCAATTCCACATTTTGTACCCCCGTTTCATATTCATCTGAATCTGAAACTTGAAGCTGAAACTGTAGAGCGGATCGTTGACCACTCCCTAATCAGTAATCATACTATATGAACAAATCATTTAGGCACGTAGCCCTTATCTCTTCTGTGGCACGTAGCCTAAACACCAAAATGCATTTATGCATACTTCTGCGTGTAGCTAAATCTTAACTGTGGCTAAATCTTCCCTAGACCTAAATTAACAACTAAAATCTGTCTCAGCATGCAGTCAAGAATGTCTTGTCTGGAAACCATCTCGTTACACGATTGCATTTTATCAGCCGTCAAGGCTATCTTTAAAACAGGGAATGGGGAATCCGGGAATCGGGGAATCCGGGAATCGGGGAATCCGGGAATCGGGGAATCGGGAATCCAGAACTGATAAGACAGAGATGTTAGTGTGCTTGTTGGAAAACGCATTCGCTACTGTATACAATGCGAATCAGTTGTCTTAAATAACTTATGCTTATGATATATTATGATTATAACAGCGCTGTGCACATGCATATGTGATTTTAATAACATATACAGCTATTTCAATTAAGGTTGTCCCCCGAGCAAAGCGGAAAAGTCGAATACGAGCGCGAAAGGCTGCTGGGAATCGCTAATAAATTCATTCATTCAGCTTTTCGCGCTCATATTCGACTTTTCCGCTTTGCTCGGGGGACAACCTTAATTGAAATAGCTGTAATTTTATTAATTTCAATTAGACATTAGCGTCTATACAATTTTGTTCCAACGCGCAAGTATTTTGAATTAATAGACTGTGAAATGCATGCATCTTACAGGAAACGGGATAACATTAATGCGGCGACGACGCGGTATGTTTTTAGTTTTTATTCACGGATACTTTGTATAATCCCAAATTACTTACAGTACTTTAAAATTAACATATTTTTTTATTATTTTTTAACAACTAAAAATCGCGCAAATTTGGTTTAAGCTAGCCTACGGTGTAGACCCCAGCAGAAACACGTTTAACACCCCTCACGAAAAGTGTTTCTGCTAGGGTCTGTAGGCTAGTTTAAGCGGACGTTGGAGGTTTTAAACTCCACAGTAATGTCTTAAAGTATCCGAGAATGAAAACCGTACCTCGTCGCCGCGGAATTGCGCCCCGTTCGCTTTAATATTTAACATATAAAACGTGGGCTTTTGGTGCTATCTCGGTTCCTGTATATGATGCATGCATTGTGCAGTCTATTAATTAAAAAAACTTGCACGTTGGAACAAAATTCTATAGACGCTAATGTCTGATTGAAATTAATAAAATTATATGTTATTAAAATCGCATATGCGCACAGCGCTATTATACATAATATATAATATATTTTAAGCATAAGCTATAGTATAGTAAGACAACTGATCCGCAGTGTATACTGTATGTTCATCGTCTGTATTATTCTAAACAAAGTAGCAAATGCGTTTTCCAACAAGCACACCAATATCCCCGTCTTATCAGTTCTGGATTCCCGGATTCCCCCATTCCCCGATTCCCGGATTCCCCGATTCCCGGATTCCCGGATTCCCCGATTCCCGGATTCCCCGATTCCCGGATTCCCCGATTCCCGGATTCCCCGATTCCCGGATTCCCCGATTCCCGGATTCCCCATTCCCTGTTTTAAAGATAGCCAACAGTCAAGTCAAGAAACAAATAAATCGCATACTTTAAAGTTTGAAGTTGGTTATTCTCTCTCAAACATATTTTCATATCAAACCGATCAGTCGTCAACGTTTGTATATTTTGGCTTTCATCTGTTTCTAAAATATGCCATTTATAGATTTGTTGTTTACAAACGTTGATAAACTTTGTGCCGATTTTAATACTAATAGTGCGCGTCTTGTTTATTGAAGGTTGATAGATTTTGAAACGTAACTTTTTGCCACAAATCACAATGTAAACATGTGGATATCAGGCGGTATAGACAATTACGGCTTTAGACTTTTTTTCGGCCTACAGCAATATTTATAAAACTATTTTTCTGATATACAGAGGGTCCTGAAGTGGGGGGGGGTCCCAATCCCATTTCCCACCTTAAATTTTGGCAAAATCCCAGTCCCAGTTGGATTTTTATTAGAAGTCCCAGTTATTGAAATCCCAGTCAGTAAAAACCCTTTATTTATCGGTAGAATAAACAGTTTTAAGACCTTTTAAGCAAGTGGCGGACACTTTATGAAATATTAGGGGAGCTCGTGCCGAAGGCACAGAAAATTTAAAAATTTGAATCCCGGAAATGGCATTTGCAGCATTCTGAGACACACATAATCAGAAAACCCAGAATTCCGGGCGCCAGAGTATGCCTGTTCGCAGGTGGTGCTGCGAATAATATAGTTAACAACAAAAATCATGACCAAAGACACCAAAAACGGATCAAAATTGTATTTTAAAATACTCAAAACGCAGAAAAATTAGGAATCGACTCGCATTACCTCAATCCCATTCCCATTTTTGAGGACTTCATTTCCCATTCCCAGTGGCCAAATCCCAGTCCCAGCAACCCAAATCCCATTTTCCCAGTCTAAAAATAGATCAATCCCAGTTCCCATTTTACCCCTTCAGGGCCCTCTATACAGTACACATTTTATAACACGAAGATAGTCGTATATATTTCCATAAACCACGGCATAAACACCGATATGCACATGCAGTCATATACCCATATTCATAAACACTGATATGTACATGCAGATGTAACAATTACTTAATTATAGTCTTAATAGAGTTTGATTACTTCACATTATTTAACACGTTTTCTTCGAGAACAAACCGTTTATCTCTAGTGCAACATAGTTAGACTTGAATATGTATATTAACACAACATATATTGATCTCCACCACCATTGCCGCTGCCTCGCGTCAACCATTTGCTTTTATGCATGTTTTTGGGTCTTTCTAGCTATGCTTACAACTTTGGTTGATCTCTATTGGTCTGGAAATATATTTTGTTGTAACGTTTGCGACGACGTGCAATGTCTGCAATTTCTTCGACGAGCCGTATAGCACACCTTGTATATTGAAATCTGATATATCTTTGCTCACCGACATTCTGGGTACAATGACATTTGATATTTCTAATTGTGTCACTGGATAGTATTCATGACAAATAAAATATTCAATCTTGTAAACATTTCCTGCATGATTTCTGCGTTATTTCTTCGCTCACTCCTTGCTCAGTGACAAAACGCTACCTAATAGAAATTTATTGTTATCTCCCAGATTCTGGGAGACACGTGACCGGGACAATACCAGGGTATTTTCTCAGCAGGTGGCCGTGCACCGAGTATAAGAGAAAATAGCCTGGGTACAAGGTTGGACTTGCTCCAAGTCAGTCTCTTTCATTGTCATACAGTATCGATCCACTATAGTGTACATTACATGACGTAGCACGGAGAGGCGGAGCGAGAAAGAGAGACTTGTCAACTTCGGAAAATCTCGGTTCAAAACTGAACCGAAAATGCAAGACTTGCTTTAATTGTTTTCTGTCAGTGTTTATATGTATTGATCTAGCAACGGTTTTGCTGCTGTTATAACAGTCATGTCGTTGATCCGAATTTCCTCTTCTGAACTTTTCCCACCTGGTCCAGTCAGATAATTTGATATCTGGACAGCAGTAAGGCTTTTCTCTTTCTCTGCTAGAATGTCGTATTTTGCTTTGGAAAAGCAAACGACTCGTTTTCTTTTCTTTTCCATTTGTAGTTGGAACTCGCACCATAATACTTTCTTTCCCTTCCGTAGAGGAGAAAGTTTGTGAATGTAACCGATAACTGGATTCTTCATGCTTCTTGAAGTCATACTGCGGTGAAAAATATCATCTTATTTGGTCTTTTATACCCTAGCACGTTTCACCACTAGCAAATATCCGTCAAGCTATTGGTTATCAAAATATGCCTAAACCTACTAAGTGCCGGTATTCAGTAAACATATTGTTTCCCTTTATGTTGTGGGGTCTCAACTGCATGAGAACGTATAACTTTAACACAAAGAAACACTTTATATTCGGCTTCATGATTGTGAAGAACATACAATATAAGCATTCGACAGAAAGAAAAGAAAAAAAATGTAATGAGGTGTGAGACGTAGCTCATCAACACATACAGATTAAAACCTAAACCAAGTCATTTCAATTAAACACAATATAGACTTTGACGAATTTCAGCTAATTATCTTTTGTCTTTACGGCATCAACACGGCAGTAGCGCGACGTTTGAAACGGGCCTGATTTCCATGTTGTAATACGTCATATATCACTATGTCTATGCATTATCGATGTGCAATGAGAGAATAATGATCCAAACAATAAAGCATTTTACTCGAAAATTACCCAACACAATGGTGCAAAGTATTACCGATATTAATATAAATTTCTGACATAAAACTCCGAAGAACAAAACATGTTTGAGATATTTTCTGTTTTGCATGATCTCACTTAGCCTGCGCGCAGACTATATAATGACATATATATGTCATTATATAGTCTGCGCGCAGGCTAGATCTCACTCAGTTTCAGTTATATGAACCGCTCTACGCTGAGTTTATTTATTGGTTGAGTGTCGAGTGTCGAGGGTTAAAAGTCGAGGGTGAGGGTAAAAAGTCGAGGGTAAAAAGTCGAGGGTAAAAAGTCGAGGGTAAAAAGTCGAGGGTTAAAAAGTCGAGGGTAAAAAGTCGAGGGTTAAAAGTCGAGGGTAAAAAGTCGAGGGTAAAAAAGTAAAAAAAAATACAAATTCAATCAGGTAACCGCTTCGGATAATGCCATAGCGACGTCTACGTGTCTTCTTGGCAGTATTGTTATCTGCATGCGTTCCACGCACACACGTTGGGCGATGTTTTCGCCTTTAGGCCAAATAAAAAAAAATACTTGGTTAGCGTCACACTCTCACAAATTTTCAGAGGCGGGCGGGCGGATTTTTTTAAAATTTTTACTCGTTTTTTAATTTTTTAATAGTATTTTTGGAGGGGATGGGGGGCGGTTTTTCCACCATATCGGTGATATTTTTTGTACTGATGTTGCGAAGGCCGCCATTTTGCTTTAAGAACCTTGTATACCCAAGCCTACGCGCTCCTACTCGATCAGTATATAGCGCGAAGGTCTGAGCATGAGAAAAATTTCAAATATTAAACTGTTTTAAGCTGTAAAACGAAGAGATTTACATAAAAAAAAATTTAAAAAAATTCAGAGGCGGCAGAAAATCGAGAGGCGGGCGGTGACGCTAACCAGGTATTTTTTTTTTATTTTGCCCATTCTCGTACCCAGAGCCCTTCTTACGCGCGGTCAACGGAGCACGACGAGGGCACAGAATAAGGTACACAGAAGGTCGACTCGAGTAACGCTGCCACGCCATGATTCATCATCAAAATGCTGACGCCATGGTCCTAGCCAGTGCGGGTTTGAGAGGCATTCCCCCCTGGACATCCGCCATTTTGAATGATATCAGGGGGGTGAATGCCTCTCAGACGCGCACTGGCTAGGACCATGGCGTCAGCATTTGATGACGAATCACGAGTTACGCCAAAATCATAGGAAAATCATAGGAAAAACGAAGAAGTCGGCCTTCTGTGTACCTTATTCTGTGACGAGGGGCTCTGGCCAAATCCATAACCGGATACCATAAAAACATGGTATCCGGTTAAACACTGCGCATGCTCAACTTCAAACGCGGATAAACACTTCGGCTTTCTTGTTTGTTTCGTTTTGAAAGTTTTTCTCCAGGAAAACCCCACAAAAGCGGTAGGTTTCGCTAATTTTATTTATTTAAATCAATTAGTAGGTAAGACGTGATGTTCTCAATGCATGTTGATAAAAATTTAGTATATATTTCCCTCTTAAACGTTGCCAAAGCAGTAATGGCTACGGATACGAAGACGAGAGATTGTCTCACTATTTTATATTCGATTTTAAGTCGCTGTTGTACAGATTTTTAGACTTTTTTGTGTTTTATTAAAAGTCAACAGTTATGCATAAGACATACTATACTGCAAAGCATTTGAAAATTGTAAAAAATCGGTTTCTAGGAAGAAAATAGTCATCACAATTAACTTCATATTCTGGCTGGCTTTAATATTTTCTCTTCAGATGGCACTTCAGCTTTGAACATGTAACACAGATTTGTTTGATTAACATCACTGATTTGGAAATACGACGAGCATCTGCCATAAATATGCTGACTTTTTGCTATGAGAACATCACGTCTCAACCTATTAATTTCAATCAACTAATTGATTTAAATAAATAAAATTAGCGACATCTACCGCTTTTGTGGGCGATTATCAACAACAATCTTCCTAACTGCTTCGTACTGCTGTTCTTTCAACTTTAATAATGTCTTTTCTCCCAATTTTCAAAGGGAAACCAACGCTTCGTGGAGCGCTTGTGTATTTTTATTCATATTTACTATAATAAACCATATATTTCGTTGTGGCCAATCAGAAGCCAGTTTGATATGGATTTGGCCAGAGCCCCTCGTCGGGCTCGGTCGAACGCGCGTAAGAAGGGCTCTGGGTACGAGAATGTATTTGGCCTTATTGGTGTTGGCTCCGCCCCGCCCCCAAATCACCTAGTCCCAGTCTTTTCATGTGAAAAAGCGCTGAATATTAAAAAAATATAAATAAGACTAGAAGGCCTAGGTCTGCTAGGTATGATGGGAAGACGGAAGCTACTCTGCCATTGATATAGGAGATCTAGATTGCTAACGCATACCTAGCGCAGGCGGGGCCTACATGATAAATCCAAGATGGCGGTACAAGAGGGCAAAAAGACTATAGATTCTATTACGAAAATCAAGATTTTTGCATTTTTTGCCGTCGCATTGTTTTGAAACTTATTCGGTCAAATTTTATGGTAAAGAGAAACTTACCGCGAAGATTTTGAGCATATTTATGATTGAATTGGATGAAAACTCGCAAAATTATCCAGCGATAAAAGTTCGTGTATAGTACTGATATAGTACTATATATGTAACTTGTACAGTTTTGCTTTAATTTTTGCTCACTATTTGCATAAAAAGCAAATTATAACAGACCATAGATGATAGACCCTTATCCAGTGCTCTCATCAGTTTACTTCTCTAACAAGCAAGGAGGGGGGGGGGGTACATAACAGTTCATTTTTCATAATTATGAGGACAGAGCAGATATGATGAACGATGCAAGTATAAAACACCATTCACAAGACTAGATGTTAACATAGCACAGTATTTCTGGCAATAAAACGCTCCAACTGACCAACTGACCATTTATCACACGAACTTTTATCGCTGGATAATTTTGCGAGTTTTCATCCAATTCAATCATACATATGCTCAAAATCTTCGCGGTACGTTTCTCTTTACCATAAAATTTGACCGAATAAGTTTCGAAACAATGCGACGGCAAAAAATGCAAAAATCTTGATTTTCGTAATAGAATCTATAGTCTGTTTGCCCTCTTGTACCCCCTTCTTGGATTTATCATGTAGGCCCCGCCTGCGCTAGGTATGCGTTAGCAATCTAGATCTCCTATATCTATGGGAAATCCACTAGGCCTTCTAGGCTTGCTTCCTCCTCCCCGCCCCCAAATCACCTAGTTCCAGTCTTTTCATGTGAAAAAGCGCTGAATATTAAAAAAATATAAATAAGACTAGAAGGCCTAGGTCTAGGCTGAAATATTGTATAAAATTCATTCAACTTACCCTCGATACTTAGATTGTGAAGGGAAACTTCTAAAATGTCCACATCGCTGCTCGATCTCACCCCGTCGCGCATCACTAAATGTCCTCTACTATCCCTACATTATCCCTACAAATCCTATATAATTGAGACTCTGCGGAGGAGAGTGAGCTCGAACTGTGGCAGGTCCTTTTGATATGCCACCTTTTCCTAATTACTTTGACCTGAAAGGTCGGGTGTCTTAAATCGCTAAATATCTGTTTTTCTGTTTTTTCCTGTTGTTGTATCTGCGAAGCAGATATATTGCTATCGCAAACGTGACCGTACCGTACCGTATGTTAACACATAGCCATTCAGCGACGAGCTTATATATTTTAAGCCAATTTAAGCCAATCAGCGATTATGTTACATCGTGTCGGCCATCTAACCTGCGAACGGGCATGGTTTGGCCTCGTGTTATTTCAGATATTCTCGCCATTTTGGATTTCAAAAATACCTCGAAGTTGAATTGCTGTCTTATTTTATCGCCATTCTACTATCAACATGGAAATTTAGGGCCTGTTTATATGGCAGCCGGGCTGGCCCGCTTAGCGAGACAGCCGGTAAGCGGGATGAATTTCTCTTGTGTCTATATGATAAAATTTCATCCCGCTTGCCGGGACAATTTTGTTACATTGTATTGTTTTGACAGCTGTTAAAAATAGCTTGCGGCAGTATCTTTGAACTTTCATCCCGGCAACCGGGCTAGCCCGCTTGCGAGTGTTTATATGGAGAAATTTCCATCCCGGTAAGCGAGATCTCGCCTCTTTCAAGCGAGATCCCGGCAACCGGGCCAGCCCGCTTGTCCATATAAACAGGTCCTTTAACAATCTCTTCGGAGACCAAAACAATCTCTTCGGAGATCAAAACAATCTCTTCGGAGAGCAAATGAACAATCTCTTCGGAGAGCAAATAAACAATCTCTTCGGAGATCAAAGCAATCTCTTCGGAGAGCAAAACAATCTCTTAGTAGACCAAATCAACCTCTTCGGAGATCAGAACAAGCAAATACATATAACATTGTACATTTATACCGTACTCATGGTAGCTATATTAATAAGTGTATAAATTCAGGTCACTGTGCATGTAGTTGCAGATCGACTGTACGGACATTAACTAAGCAAGCAAATGGTAAACGATCTGGAGACCATGCACCTTCCAGATTGCCTTTAAAGAGAATTATATTAGCTATGAGAAAGAGAAAAAATAGAGCATTAGTAAAGCATTATTTTGTAAGAAATGTCCCCAAGTCATCTATTTTGAACAAGATAGCTAGTAATTTCAAGCAATGTTGTTTTCAATTTGTGAAAATACAACATATTTTTACCAATATATACCATTTCCCAATTAACCAAAATTTTGATCTTAACTAGCCTAAACAAAAATGTCATCACAGCTTGAAAGAGCATCACAAAATTAGTAACATTCCAAATTTTCGTTGCAAAATGTTGTAAAATGCGGATAATACTGCCTTGCGAAATCTGCATTTTCAGTCATTTTAGATTACAAACGGGAAATGGTTCCCGTTTGTAATCTAAAATGACTGAAAATTGCAAATTTCGCAAGGCTATATTATTCGCATTTCACAACATTTCGCAACGGAACTTTGGAATATTACTAATTTTGTGATGCTCTTTCATGCTATGATGGAATTTTGTCTAGACTTATTGAGATCAAAATTTTGGTTAATTGGGGAATGGTCCATTCATTTGGATATTTTAAGCCATGTGTCAACATAAATATGAATACACCAAAACAATGATTGTGTAATATGTTCTACAGTCAAAACATAGCAGGCAATGTTGCCAATGAACAATATCACATATCTCAAAGGGCACTAATGTTGTCAGGAGATATTGAATTAAATTCTGGTCCTGTTCAAAACAACAGTCCTACTAGGATGTCATCAAATGTAGTGTTACAACAAAGGTTAAGACGCTTTCAGTTAATTGTTGGCGGTGATGGTGACTGTTTCTTTCGAGCTGTGTCACATCAATTATATGCTGACCCTGAACGACACTTTGAAGTTAGAGCGACCGGTATTGCATATATGAGAGATAATCCTGAGAGATTCATTGAAAGTAACACTGAAATCTCGCCCCATGTGAGGTAATCCAGGAGGTATTTGGATTCCGGATCCCACTGCTTGGATTCCGGATCCTACTCCTTGGATTCCGGATTCCACATCTTGGATTCCGGATTCCGAAACTATAGTGGATTCCGGATTCCAATTACAGGGCCGTAACAGTTATTGTTGGGGGTGTAGGCCAAAAATTCCGAGGTGACGAAAACATTTCGAATTCCGAATATTTCATGGCATGCGAAGCTACGAATGTGTTTGCTATCCGGAAAATGAAGACGCTATTTACAAACAAAAATACGCATGTTTTATGCATAGACGTACTGCAGAGTTTGCAGTGCCGTAGGGAGCTCTTTGGGGAAGGTTTGGGGAAGGGGAAAGTTTGACAGAATTCTGATAGTCAGAAAATAGTGTTTTAGTTTGTCGAAATTTACAATTTGCTTACAATTTAGTAGTTCTAAATGGGCGAAGGCGTATTTAATTGCCTATACCGTATTGGAGAAATTGCAGGAAAGTATGGGTAATACGATTCTTTGCAGTCTGTCATGGATAATGTAGCCGCTTAAAATTAATCAATTGTCAGTATTTTAAAGGTTGAATGATAAAGGTCTGCATGATTTAGAAAAAAAGAATGATTATTAGCAAATTATTGGGAGGGCTGCACCACACAGCCCCCTTCCCCCCGGTTGCTACGGCCTTGAGAAGTTAATAAACCGAAAAATATTTACCGATTTACTATTTGTTAAATGTTATCCATGTAAATGCCATGATTTCGTAAATCAGTTTATACTGATACTACAATTATATTATATTTTCTCTGTTTAACAACTGATTATTGACCTAATTTTCCGGATGGCCAACCCGATTTTCCGAATATGTTAATTCTAAAAAAGTTGGGGGGAGGGGGTAGACCCCCCCCCCAACACCCCCCGCCCCCTTGCTACGGCCCAGTCCAATTTATTATTTTGCGGTGTATTGCAAAGCCAATATCAGTTCCCAGTGCATCTGAGTTCACAGTACTAAATAGCATTTATTTTCGAGGAACTATTGTTAACTAATGTTCACAAGTAACTAATTAATAATACATTTTATACACAAATATATAGCAGGCATAACTATAGGTGAAACGTTTCAAAACGGAGAGGCACACTATATTTTTGTATCAAACGCATGCTTGACAGGCTCGATTTGATGTAAACGACCTTCAGCGTTTTAATAATTCATGCGAAATTAAAAAAAAGCATTTTATTCTAATGTAAATGTATATAAACGGGTCAGTGTCTGGTTGGCTGGGTACCGAGTATATATAAATAAAATAAAACAAGATTGACAAGAAAATTATATACACCTTTACTCATTTGATTCCTTACTGTGTTTGGAATGTTTCCCCATGACCAAGTCCAAATTCGCTTCGTAGTCGACTCAAAAGCTTAAGATGCATCAAGATGCACGAGCTTAAGATGTACGAGCTGAAGATGCACCAAATCTACAGCCCTGAGCAAACTAGGAAACGTTGTTTCCTGCCAATGTTTCGCCATGTTTCCCAAGGTGGACAAACACTAAGAAACAATATTTCCGCAACAAAAATCGCACTTGGGAAACATGAAATGTTTCTGAATTTGATAGGAAACATTTCTGCTTCTCGGGAAGCAAATTGTGTTTCTGTTACGATGTTTCCACGGGTAGGTAAACACAAAAACATTTGAGGCAACATGGCGAATCACAATGTTTCCGCAACAATGTTTCCTAGTTTGCCCAAGGCTTACGATGTGGACGTGACATAAAAACCGTTGCTAATGTTTGGAATCCAGTTTTATTATATGCAGCTTCACTTGTGTCTCTGACTTTGTTTACCAATTCACTTGTGTCTCTGACTTTGTTTAATTTTTATCCGTGTAGTGAGACTGTGGGAATAGTTACAGTTTTTGTCCACGACCGCGTCGTAGATTTGGTGCATCTTAAGCTCGCTATTGTCTATAAACAGCACCAAGATGCAAACGGTATATAAGAATGTGTCTACACCCGCTTGTAATTGGAAGCCGAGCGCGCGCAAACAGTTTCTCAAATTTCATGTATTTGGACTATTTGGTCATGAAACTTGAAAGAGCCTGAACATATTTCCTGGAGTTAAATAAAACAGCAGATGGTTAGCAATGTTTTTTATGTTTTTATGTGTTTTTTTCTAAATTAATAAAACATGAATGGATTCCAGAACAACCTGGGCTCTGGATTCCGGATTCCTCAGTTATTTGGATTCCGGATTCCACTGTCTGGATTCCGGATTCCAAGACTCTGGATTCCGGATTCCTAAACCAACAAAAAGCCGGATTCCGGATTACCTCACATGGGGCGAGAAATCTCTTGGTTAGAATACCTTAATAATATGTCTATGCAAGGGACATGGGGCGATGCTATGATAATACAAGCTGTGGCTGATCAGCTTATAAGTTAAAAATTACTATTGCAAAGACACATGAAGGTTTTCGTGAGTACAGTATAATACAACCTGTATCATCTACACAGCAACTAACTCATGTCTATTTGGGTCATATAGATGAGTATCTCTATGTATCAACATTGCCATGTACTTCAATGTCAGGTTTTGTTGAGATAAATCCTGAACAGTCAACCCAGAGCTCTCAGCCTAAACAATGATGTTCAAAAAAGATTGTTACATAGAAAAAGTGTTAACAATGTGGAGTGGTTGTGTAAAACCTGTAATAAGCATTTAAAAAACAATAAGGTGCCTCCTTGCGCTGCCATAAATGGGCTGCAGTTTCCAGAAAAACCTTCGTTTTTCGATCTAAATGAATTAGAGTGCAGATTGCTTGCTCCAAGCTTGCATTTCAAAAATTAATGCAAGTTCCTAGAGGTAGACAACTAAAAATTAATGGAAACATTGTTAGTGTTCCAGCAGATGTTGTTAATACTGTTAACATGTTGTCAAGGTTTCCAAATGACACCAGCACAATTAAAGTTAACCTTAAGAGAAGATTGCAATACAAAAGTTCTGCTTTATCACTAGCCTAAATGTCAGACCAAATAAAGTAGCAGAAGCTGCCAAATGGCTTGTAAATAATGGTAACCTTTATAAAGATGAAGGTATAACTTTCAATGACACTTGGCTTGAAGATAATTTAAATACTCAAATGGTATTTGATGATAGTGACAATGATCAAACTTCAGAGGGTTCAGAAAATGTTGTGGACTGTAATGCAGAAAGCTTGAACTGTGACACAGAATGTAAAACCCAGCAATCATCAGCTTGTGATGATGATGAACACTGGAGTGAAGACGAGGCAGAAATACCTGCTGGAATCACTGACACTATGTTAACATCTCCAGATTTTGTCACTGATAATGAACGTCAGCATATTTTAAACGTTGCACCTGGTGAGGGCAATAGGCCTATGAGTATACTTAGAGATAAATACTCAGAGAAATTAGCATATTCTGGTATATTTCTTGGACAGAAGCAACCAGACAATACAAATAGACTAACCAAAGTCCATTATAGTGAAATTTGAAAATCTGAATTAAGACGGTCTGACCGAAGGGCTGCAATGTGTGTGGAAAATATTTTCTTTAAAACGAAGAAATTGCAAATGAAAATTTTGCTGGGGCAGTCACAAGTTGCATTAAGAAAATGTCAACGAAATAGTAGCACAATCACTGCCGGTCAACTAAAACAACCGGCATTAGATAACATGATTCATCATGATCAAGGATTTAAATTTCTTAGAGCTGTAAGGGGTTCACCTCCATATTTTGAAAAAGCTAAAAAGGATATATTTGCAATGATCAGGCAGCTAGGATCTGCTTCATTATTTTGTAGTTTTTCTTCAGCGGAAACACAATGGACTCATTTACTGAGAATACGTGGTAAACTTGTTGATAACAAAACATACACTGACACTGAACTTGAGAACCTCAATTGGGAAGAGAAAAGTAGGTTAATTCAAAGTGATCCTGTGACATGTGCCAGGCATTTTGATTAACAAGTACACAAGTTTTTGCAAAACTTTCTTTTAAGTAGTGTTGCACCTCTAGGAAAAAATTGCAGACTGGTTCTATAGGGTTGAATATCAACAAAGAGAATCACCTCATATTCACATGTTAATATGGCTAAAAAATGCTCCTATGTTTGGGGAAGATTCTGATTGTGATGTTGTTTCACTCATTGATACGATAATCACATGTGAAAAGCCAAATGAGAATCCAGATTTACTTGCACTTGTAAACAGGCAAGTTCATCGCCATTCTCACACATGTCGAAAGAAATCCAAAAGTGTGTGTCGTTTTAATTACCCACAGTCACCTATGAGGTCAACCAAAATTCTATATCCATTATATAATTGATATGGATGATAATGAAGTTGATCAACATAAAGATACTTGGAAATTTATAAAGAAACATCTGAATGATATGAAAGAGGGTGAGGACATTACATTTGACCAGTTGCTTGTAAATCTTAAACTGACAGAACAAAACTATTTGCTAGCTGTTCAATCTAGTCTCAAGACACCAACTATATTCTTAAAAAGGAAACCGAACGAACTAAGGATCAATAATTATAATGCTGCATGTCTCAGTGCATGGCGTGCAAATATGGATATTCAGTTTGTACTAGATGTATATGCATGTGCAATATACATTGTATCATATATATCCAAGGCTCAAAAAGGCATGAGTGAGCTATTGAGAACAGCTTATGAAGAAGCAAAAAGGGGAAACTCCAGTATTAAACAACAAGTGAGAGATATTGGAAATAGGTTTTTGAACAATGTTGAAATAAGTGCACAAGAAGCAGTCTATATAGTACTTCAACTTCCAATGAGGAAATCTTCTCGTCAAGTAGTATTTATAAATACTTCACCCCCTGAGGATAGAGTTCAGTTACTAAAACCATTGCAAGAAATTAATGATTTGGAAGATGATTCTAGATCTGATGAAATTTATGCATCTGGTTTAATAAAGCGTTACACAAAACGACCAGCCAGACTTGAAAATGTGTCTCTTGCAGATTGGGCTGCATGGTACGACTCCACTGGTAAGCCATATATCAAACCATCTCGTGAATTAGATATTGATAATTATCCACTTGAGACAAACTTGAGTGATAATGACGAAAATAATGAGGAAGAAGAAAGCGAACAAAAGAATAAAAAAGATCTAAAGCCAGAATTATTCGACTTGTCTGTTTTAACAAGGAAGTTGATTCTGAAAGGCATTACCGTGAACTAATCATGTTATTCACTTCATGGAGGGATGAAATAACTGATTTATTGGGAAATTGTGTTTCTTACCAAGAACACTATTTACAATGTAAAAATACAATAGACGAGCAAATGAAATGTTATGCTATGTGCAGTGAAGACCGGAATGCGATTCAAGACCAGCTTAATAATGTGGAAGATATGATGAAAACTATGACCTGATTGCCCCAGGAACACAAAACATTGAGCGTCAAGATGAAGGTGCACAAGACCTTCATCCAGAATTCAATGAAACCTATGACCTATCTGGTGATTTTGGAATTCCTTCAGCTGCATCTAATACTGAGCAGCTGATATTGCACGAAGAACAGGATGATGCTTACAGAGGAATGGTACAAAAATTAAACAGAGAACAAAAATAATTTTTCTTCCATGTTTTATATCTTATTAAAACTTCTGACAATCCATTCTACTGTTTTCTTAGTGGAGGGGCTGGAGTTGGCAAGTCACATCTCACTAAGTGTCTTTATCAAGCAGCATTAAAATATTATAATACTAGAGCAGGTAATGATTTCCATCAAGTGAAAATATTAATGCTTGCACCAAGTGGTAAAGCAGCTTACAATATCAAAGGTAACACAATACATAGTGCACTTTCAATACCTGCATGTCAATCTTTAAAGAATTACAAACATCTGGATTCAAGCAGGTTAAACACCTTACGGTGTCAACTTGGTGGTTTAAAACTAATATTTTGGGATGAGATCTCAATGGTTGGTAGTACAATGTTCAAATAAATAATAGACTGAAAGATATTAAAGGAAGTAAAGAAGATTTTGGTGGTGTAAGCATAGTTGTTATCGGTGATTTATTTCAGCTGGAACCTGTAATGGACAGGTATATATTTAAGAATCTGGACAATTCAGAATATTATGCAGTTCTTGCTCCTAATAAATGGCATGATCACTTCAATATGTTTGAATTGGAAGAAATTATGCGCCAAAGGGAGAGTAAAGTGTTTGCGGAAATATTAAACAGACTTAGGGAAGGAAAACATACTAAGGATGATATTTTGAAACTAAAAGAAAGATTAATAAAAGAAAATAGCATCCAAGATCCCATGGATGTGCCTCACTTGTTCATACAAAATCAGAAGGTAAATGAATTCAATGAAAGAGTGCATAATGCAGCAACTGGTGAAAAGTTTTCAATCAAAGCAATAGACAGAGGCTGCTCCATTTACTGTTCGGAGTACTCCGGATTTTCGGAACACTAATTAAATCGAACCAACAATGATCACATGACTGTTCTGACGGTCACATGTCTGTTCTGGCTGCCCCTACTTTTGAGTAGGGGCAGTCAAAACAGTCATGTGACCGTTTTCGGTTCGATTCAATTAGTGTTCCGAAAATCCGGAGTACTCCGAACAGTAAATGGAGCAGCCTCACAGTGTTGTAGGAGCTAACTCTGCTCAACTTCGAGATAAAATTTTGAGTCAAATACCAGATGATCCTAGGAAAACTAGGCAAATTGCTTCAAACCTTCAATTGTCAGTGGGGGAATCACGTACTGATGATGGCATGACTAATGGTGCTGGTAATGTTGTTAAAAAGATACAATTGAATCAAATAGATAAACCTTCCGGTATAATATGGGTCCAATTTGACCATTCAGATGTTGGAGAGAAGACCAGACATGAAAATAGACATCTTTATGTCCAAGGTATTAAGTCCACATGGACTCCAATAAAGCCAATCACAACTCAGTTTGCTGTGGGTAGAAACCAAACTGCGCAAGTTGTTCGAAAACAGTTTCCACTTGGACCCGCTGCGGCTAAAACAATTCACCGTTCACAAGGTGACACTGAACAAAAAATTGTTGTAAATTTCAACACTAGAAGAACAATACCACATATACATTATGTTGGTTTGAGCAGGGTAACAGCAATTGAAGGTTTATTTATCACTGACCTATGTGAAGATAAAATAGCTGTGAATCCTCATGTAGCATCTGGAATGGAACATTTGAGAAATTAACGTGTACTAACAGGCCTTAAAATAACGGTCGGTCACGGACATTGTCCGACCCATTCGTGAAATTGTCCGACGTAGTGAGGAAACCACAGGACATTCTGTCCGACCAAAGTGAAACTGAGGTTTATTGTTTGTCCGACCCGAGTGTATTGGTGTCCGACCGAACGGTAGCTTTGTCCAACGTAAATCAAAGTGTACCCTAGTCCAGGACTAGAGGCTCGACTATGTTAAATGGAAAATGTGAAGTGGAAAAGGAGCTTATTGCTTAAGTTGACAAAGTCTTACTGCTGTTTTTGGCAAGCAAGTTAATTTGGCTTGGAAATAAGTATGCATGAATGACGTAAATTATTTAATATTTTCACAACATTTACCGCTCAGAATTAATACATTGTGCTGATATTAATTCGTGTCATTCAGACTTATTTCGGAGGCAAACTGAACTGAAGGTCATCGGACATCATCATACACATGTCCGACCCAAACTCACAGTCATCGGACATTTTGTCAGACGGCCTTGTAAACGATATTTTAAGGCCTGTGTACTAAATGTCTAAAACTAAGTGTCACTCCTATTTATAAGACAGACAAGTCTCATTCAAACTGTGCTATCTAAATGCACGGTCGTTGCATAAACACATTGATGATATTTAATTTTGCTAATACAGACATCAATATTCTTTCTGAAACTCGATGTATCCGCTCGGATAATGCCAGTATGTATGATATTGATGGTTATACTTTGTTCAGAAATGATGGTCACTCTTTGACTACCAGGCCCTTTGGTGGCATGGCAGTGTTTAGCAGAGTTGAATTCTTACCCGCGGATATCCATGTTGTTATAATATCAATGGCATTGAAATAACCATTATGAAAGCAATGATTCTTCCACATGTTACTATACTTGGTATATATCGATCACCCAGAATTCCAGTACAACAATTGTGTGCAGCATTAGATGAAGTTTTGAGGTTCTGTACTTCTCAATTTAACATTTTCATTGGTGATTTTAATATCAATTGGTTGGATGGAGTCAATAGAAGGCCTTCAGATAGATTTTTTATCAATGATCATAACTATATGCAATTGGTGTCAAATGTCATTACAGACAATAGGACATTAATAGATCATATTTATACAAATCTTCCAGAGTCGCAAGTTAGTTCACACATTTTAGAAACTTATTTCTCAGATCATATAAAGCAGTTTGTGCCTTAATTAATTGTTCTCATTAAAGCAAACTTAGCAATGTCATGATAGAAATATTTCTATATTGGGACAAGAGTCACTGGACACAATTCACTTAAATACTTACACATTTTGGTTTTATACACATTAGAGTTAAACAAAATTTACTAATTTTCAAAATTCAAATGCTAATAACAGAATCACCAGGGAAGCAAGTTTTTTTTACACCCCCTCCCACCCACCATGTTGCGTTCTAACATAAATGTTTTTGTTTAGAGATTAATACAACAATGACGAATAAATGTACTGGATATATTTGTTGGATAATTCCATCAGAACAACCCACTTGCAAGACAATCTTACCGAAATTCATTAGTATGGCTATACGAAAATAACTTAACAGCTACAATAATCATATGGATGGATCTGATCAATGGCAGACAATGTACAAAACCAAACTTGTACTCACAGATACCTTCTATTCAAACGGATTTTCTCCCACAACACTAATTGTTTTTGTGTGGATATGATGTGTTAAAATTATACCGAACAGTGTGCTGTATCATTAACTGTGCACAGGACTGGAATGGAATTATACAGTTCACTTGTGACCTTCAAAACATTCTCTACTGATCAGTGGTCTCCCATGTTCCTCAAATAGTTTGTGTATGTTACTCTACTGTTAACATTGGCAAGTGTAAACAACAAGTGACAGAACTTTGCTTCATATGATTACAATAAAGTTTTGGAAATTCTATGTGTATGGATTTACAAGTGACAACATATCTGCTATCCTGACTATATGGTATCTAAAATGTTTTGTACTGTATATTGACATTATATGGATAATAAAGAAGATTGTCAAGCTATCTCTGTGACATCACAACTTAGTTGACCTAAGGAAACCTTTGTTGCAGTTATGGAAACATCACTGCAAGTGGAATTTATAGCAGTTGTTTTATTCACTATGAAAACCAGATCTCATTATTTTATTCAGAAAATAAATAATACATTTTTTCGAAAATTTTTTCGCTTGCGTCAGGCTTGCGTCCTTCCTCCACCCCGCCCCCAAATCACCTAGTCCCAGTCTTTTCATGTGAAAAAGCGCTGAATATTAAAAAAATATAAAAAAAAATAGAAGGCCTAGGTCTAGGCTGTTTTGATACTACTTTTACCGAAATCCAGGGCAAGCACGTGGCATGCATGCATGCGTAAGCATGTGTTTGATGCATGCAAGTGACCATGATTCATGAAATAAATTTCTTCTGCATAATTTTGCATACATTTATTAGTAATATACAGTGCCAGTGGTATGGTTTCTCGTGCAATTTGGAAAATTTCATACTGTATACACTCGTAAGAATTTCAAAGACTTGTGAGCCGTGCATTTTGATCGTCTTTGTCTTTGAAAAACTCAGTGTTCAGATTGGTATTGCAGATCGAATGTATTTATAAATGGATAGACTGGATAGTTGAATTGATTGTAAAAGATTGCCAGTTAAGTTAAGTAAGTTAAAGCCCCGTTTACACTACGCTCAATTTTTGGTAGGGCACGGATAAAATTGGTACCCGTGGTCCCGTACCACTTTTTTGGTTCTTGGACTACCTATTTAGGTAGTCCAAGAACCATAAAGTGGTACGGTACCAAAAATTGAGCGTAGTGTAAACGGGGCTAAGCTAAATAGGTGGTCCAAGAACCAAAAAAGTGGTACGGGTACCAATTTTATCAGTGCCGTACCAAAAATTGAGCGTAGTGTAAACGGGGCTTAAGTTAAGTTAAGTTAAGTTAAGCAAAATTGAAAGACGACATGCACTGAAACAGTGGCCGGTGTCCCAGGAATCCCCCGACAATTTCGCCAGAACATTTCCCAACCTGAACTTGTGCGAAGGATACTCAATATGACTTTTTAAATGTAATATGCCTCGGTATTTTGTTGTGCCATGTGCTATTTTATTCATTGCGTAAAGGTTTTGAATTGTTTCTGACACTTTTCTGTGCAATTTACAATATGTGTTCTACACGATGTGCAAATGTAGCGATCAGCAAGTGTTACATGGCTAGGACCAAAAATACTCATTCACAGGACCCATGTACAGACAGCTGTCGCGTAGTACACGTGCTTGATGACGCAAATCATCACGGTTGACAGAATCTTGCCGTTCTGGGATCATATCAATATATCTTTGTGGATGACCATTTTGTTGCAATGTTCCCATTCGACCCATGTTCTTTAAGTAATATTCACGTGCTTTGGCGTTCGCTTCTTCTTGTTCAAGTGTGCGTCTTCGTTGGTGTCGCAAATGTTCTTCATTTAGCCTCTCAATCTCAGTCTTGAAAAGAAATCAAAATATTACATTAGATATTACAAACAAAAAAGTACGCATTGTCATTGAACCTGTTGCAATTTCCTGTAAATCGTTCAAAAATTGCAACCGGTGTGCCCTCACAGCCCTGATTGTGGTATAATTGCCGTTTTAAAGCCTTGTAAAGTGCTCATGACCATTAATAATCTTAAATTGCCAAAATTTTGTGCATCACTTGAAAGTTAACCTTGATTGAAAGAGAACGTACTAGCTGTACCAATTACTGAATTTCATTTAATTTCATTGAATCACTTCTGAGATATTAGAATTTCTTCTTGTATAATAATACAACTAGTAACATAACACAAAAATATAAAATGTCTGATAACTTGGGAACAAGATGAGCTGGGAATAAATTATTGAGGCCATTCTTCATCATTTTCAAGGTACTTTCAAGTGATGCTTAAAATTGGGGGAGCTCGGGCATGTGGTTCCATTGATCAGGGTTTTTTCAGGACTTTTTTACTGTGTCCGTTTTCGCACAGACGATTGAGTTCAGCCTGGGATCTGGGGCCATCTCTTATCACCTCACCCCCAAATTTACAATTTTAGCCTTTACATGCTTTTGGTTTAAATGGACGGCACAATGAATGCTTGGAAGATGAAATGTAATATGTGCGTTGACATTCTTGGTTTTTCTGGTGTTGTGAAATGAATTCCACGGCGTGGATCCACGCTGTGTTTAAATTTTTTACCTTGCTGAATTGCCCATGAAAAAACTAATGATTTTTTAGCGATTCCCAGCAAGCCCGCTTTGCTCGGGGACAACCTTAATTAAAATACCGGTAGCTGTATCCACAATTTAAGACCTAACCGGGGATCGTTCTGAAACATTGCAACACTAGGTCCTCTGGCCAGAATTGAAGAAGAGCTACAGGGCAAATCTTCCCTGGGGGCCCCATGACATCATTATTTTTAAGCTAGACCTAATAATAGCTAGACTGCATGTGGAGGTATTGTAAGGGGCCCTCAATTTCAAAAATGCTCTGGCCAATTTAAAGAACCTACTCAATTTCAGGCTCTCACTCTCAAGTTTGGGCCCTATTAAGGTGGGGGCCCGGGGCAATTTGCCCCTTCTGCCACCTCCCCTCTCGGCGGCCCTGAAGAGCTGCAGAGGCCAGTTTTCGAGCTGTAACCACAAATTCATGTATATATATATTTTCAGGAGTGCGGGTGGTGATTACTGCCATGTCACATATTTATCCCAAACCTGACTGCACTTAAATTTTCGAAGACAAGATTGAGTTTCAAAATTCAATTCAAGACTGAGTTTTTGGGTTCGTTAATAAGTGTATAAATTTAGTTTTCCATAGTTGCAATAATTTAATTAAAGGATTCTGGAAATAAGGCTGGGTTGTGAAGGCAAATTATAAAATTTAAAAATGGAGGCAAATTTTATTTATGTAGCTACATGTACTAATCTTTTGTCTGCAAGCGGTTAAGACCCATCCAATGAGTTTTTTGCAAATAAAATTTAATAATCATACCTAGTATGCTGTTGTAAGTTATTTTAGAATGTCAAACTACGAAAAGTCATTGGAATGCAGCCTTCCGTTCATAAATACAGTAAAAACGCAGAGTAGATTCCATGTAGAATTTTCTGGAGATATCTGGCGTGGGATTGTGTCACTGTTGGCGCACTTTGGCTAATGCTTGGCAGTTTGCCGGCACAATAAATAAAAAAATAAATAAAAGCAGTAGTATTGATATAAATCAGAAAATCAAAATCAGTTGTGAAATAGTATAGTACTGGCAGGAGAAATAATCAGTAAACAGCCTTGGCATATGCTGGCAATTGCTTTGGTGTACCTCAGGCCGTTAGGCATGACAATTTATAAAGGCTGATGGAATTGAGATATCATTTTATTGAGGTATCATTTTCTTTATTTGATTATATTTCATTATTTGTCTTACTTTTATATTAAGTACTTTATAAATTTATTTTCTGTTGAAATTTTGCAAGAATACGGTCTGTATTTACATTTTTGAAATGTAGCCTACAACAGACTATAGCGTTTGCCAAATGCACAAGAGTTGTAAAAAATTATACAAATTTTTGGTCAATATTTGTTGAATTATCAGCCAAAATTTGTCGAATTTGACGCCTTTAAAATAATGAAAAAAAGCCGCATCAACTTTTGAAAATTATGTGACGGTAAACCGATACCTTAATGTCTCAATCAATTCCATGGGTGCCCATCCTGCACACCCCCCCCCCCCCCACTTGGGCGTTTGTCAGGCATTTGTCAATTTGGGGATAAAAACCATTGCAAATGCCTCACCATGGGGTCAAAATAATGCAACAAAATCCCCACCTTTGGGGGACTTACATTGAGATGCAAATGCCCCACCCTTGGGGACAAAGTATAAGTTTTCTGACGACTTCTGAACCAAAAAATCGAATGCAGGCTCTATCTCATATCAATATATATCTATATTTAAAATCGATTCTGTAGCCATTCGTTTCAAAACCTTTTTTATTAAAATATTGACGTCTCAAAACTTTATATAACAATACAATCTCGTACTGTGGGCGGGCTAGGAAGGCATTGGCTCTGGGGAAATTGACAACCGGAACCCCTAAATTTAGGGGTTCCGGTTCTTTGTCGGCATGCACGATTGATAAACGTTAAACCAATCACAGCACAGGAAAAATTCAATTTCCCCAGAGCCAATGTAGCCTGCGTAGCAGACGCTATTTAGGGGGGGAGGGCGAAAAATGGAAGGGGCGAGAATGAAATAGCGCCTGCAGGAAAGCCATATGTTTTCTCATATTTCGCGTCCGTGAGCGGACGCGAAATTCTGATTGGCTAATCAGTCATCAGGGGTTTCCCAATTATATTCCCTGTGGTTTTAGATGAGTTCAAAATAGCGGCCTTAGTATTGACGAAGTTCTTCCTAAAGTGATTAGCTATATTTAGTTGGCGACTGGCCACTGTATTCAACTGAAAGAGGAAGAAGATAAAGCAGTTCGGGACCTTTTAAAAGGAAAAGATGTTTTTGCTGTATTACCGACAGGTTTATGGCAAAAGTTTGATTTACCAAGCTTTCGTACGAGCGCGTGATTATCATACGTCAGGGAAAGCAGCTATTATTGTAATATCCCCATTGAATAGCATTTATATTAAAGACCAGCCAAAAGATATGGAATGGCAATGTTTCACGTCCGTGGATGTTTAAATCACTATAATTACTATAATCACTATAGTTTATACGCTATAATCACTTTCAACTTAGCCTATTCGCTATAAATTGATCAAGAAAGTTGCCGCTTCGAGTTGCTGTCGTTGTTGTTAACAACTTGTCCTGCGATGGGGAATCTCGTTCTTCTGTGTCGAGGAAAAGACTTTCTAGTACTAGATTTGACACACACATTTAATTTCTTTCTTTATACACTTCCGTTGTGTGATTTCTTGGCAACTGCGTTTTGCTTATCTCGCTCAGATCATCTGAAACCGTATTATTTTGTTCTTTAATTATCGTTCTTCCTTTACAAATTTATATAGTTCAGCAACGTTCCTTATTTTCCTTACAAGGTTTACACACTCGATCCGATAAAGTTTCGCTTCGATTCAACTTAAAGCCAATGGACTCGCACGCGTTCGCTAAAATCAAATTCTGACTGCATTGTCTGTCTGACGGCTTAAACAAATTTTCAAAGGAAGGCTCACTTTCACATACTGCTTTTAGATTGCTGTTGCAAAACCTGCATGTATCGTTAGCGCTTGCCTATTTCGCTTTTCTACCCGCTTTTTTACAAAATTTTTTGGCGTTTTAAACATAGAAATACACTTTATAGTATACACGCGCATTAACTATGATTATGCATACTGTTGTGAAACCAGATCTGTCATTGGGAAAACCGTTAGTTGCGTCTAATCACTGATTGGCTTGTTTTTTAATGGGCGGGACTTGGGCAGATGGGAAAACATATGGCTTTCCTGCAGGCGCTATTTCTTTCTCGCCCCTTCCATTTTTCCTCGCTCTCGCCTTCGCATTCCCCCCTAGCTTTTCCCACCCTCGCCCTCCCCCCTAAATAGCGCCTGCTACGCAGGCTAGAGCCAATGCCATCCTAGCCCACGCACAGGCATTGCTCTGGGTACGAGATTGATAACAATATCAAACTGTGGAATTAAGTCAATATATCTGTACACGCACATGTAAACGTGCATACTAAAATATGGCTAAATGGCGAAACAAGCGACAAATACTCGACTTTTTAGCCTCAAGCAAATTTCCCACAATGGGGCTAACCTGCAGAAAGCAAATGCCCGACCCTGAGAACAAATACAGTTGACAATGCCCGTCAAACGCTCGGGGTGGGGGGAGGGGGGATGGGCACCCATGGAATTGATTGAGATATAATTCCATAATCCATAGGCCATGGAATCCAGGCAGTCATATACAGCACTAAATTGTGTTTTTGTGTATGAAACCATAGTTTTTCGAGACATGGTCTGGAAACTCAGTAAACTTCATAGCGGGTTGTTACATCTTTTGTTTTAGGTTTATTAACATTTAAATAGCATGGTTGAATGACTGAACTGAAACGTTGCTATTGGATGATTCGTTCATTATACTGAAATTGACCGTGCACCGTGCACAAAACTGCATAAACGCGAACAAAAAGATACAACAAAGACTTTAGCGAAGTTTCCAAACCATGTTTTGAAAGACTATGATGAAACTTGCTCTCACTACATACAAGTTTAAATAAATGCATTAATTTTATCAAAAATGTGCAGATTTTGTACGATTGTCTTGAAAATGCGTGGATTTAAATTCAGGTGAAATTTCAAAAACCAAACATTTTAATATATAAACAGTCTGGGACGTTTCGAGAAGATTAGTTTCTTGATTAGCATTTGTTTTGTCTGTTGAATGCATGTGATCAGCAAAGCGTGAGAATATTACATAATAGTATAATACTGATAACAAATAAAATGTGTAATCTGAACTTTAAAAAACTTATATTTAGTTTAAATAAACAATAGCAAGTATTTATACAGTAAAGCAACATCAAAATCAAAAACTTGCTGTGAACTTCAATACGTAAAGAATATAATTTTTCTCAAATTTGTCAATATGGACTGCTGAAATTTCTTATTTTACCTGTCGAAGTGAAATTCTGTCCAAAGCATCATTTTTTCTGTCAAGTACACGCTGTTTTCGCAACGCTTCCATATGAAATGCGAACGCCATGTTTGTTTTTAAAATGTTGAGTCATGAAATGTTGCTAGGCAACCGTTTTAGAGACGAGGTATTTGACTTAAAGGTGGCTCCCTACAGTTCGGTCGTCTTTCCCCTTTTAGCATTTTGGATATTGTATAGCATATTGTCTTTACACCCGGGGTGGGGATGGTATCCCCCCATCATCTTTGTGCAGAGGCCTTACGAAAACACATCAAAGTGGCAACCTTCAGTAAGGGAAAGTGGCAACCTTTAAGCTTTTAAAACTAACCATATACCGGGGCAAATAAGAAAAACAATCCCAAGCCTGAAAACACTACGAAAATTAACCTATTAATTTTAAGCTTGGTTTTCCTATTTCAGAGTTTAGCTCAAACTACAATCCTGGACATACTGGTTGAGACTACCTTTGACCTTTCCCTCTATACAAAATCTGATAATGATAACACTAAACTGGGGGAGAGGGGGTTACAAAGTGTGCATTAACTTTTCAGTATTGGCGTAGCAGTAGCTGGTGACGAACCCGGGAACCCAACCATTTACGGAGATCACTTTTCAATCAATCAATTACATTATAAAGTAAATCTTGTTGACATATGCCTATTTGTAAAGTCGTGCATGCGGGGTTACATGTACTCATCAGTGGTAACGAAATTATTTGGCGACCTTTAATATTGGGAATGATGTATTGATGTCTGAGGACGAGTATCACACTTGTCAACCAACACATAAACTTAATATACAATTAGGAATCCTCCAAGATTCCCTTCTCAAGAAAAGCTCTCATTTTATAAAAAAATGTTTTGTTGAAGTTTTGCATGCACCGGTTGCCTTGGCAATAAATGGCGCGTGCTGTGAATTATGAAGTCAACTCAAGCTTTTTCACAAAATATATCAGGATGAATATTACATTCACAATAGGAACTTTATAGAACTAATGCAATAATGGTAGTAAAAACCAATTACCTACTTGGGGCTACTCCAGTCTAAATTAAACGACTACTACCAGCCGACATTTCGTATGGGACAACCCGCAGACGAAAGCCACACTATATATACGATGAATATTCTACATTATATTAAACCATATATTGATATACCAGTTTAATTAAATAAAAGCGTGTGTTTTCATTTTCCTGACCTTTTCCCTTGCCATTCTGTCCAAGGCGGCATGTTTTTTATCCAATACTCTTTGCCGTCTTTGGGCCTCCATATGGTATGCCATGTGACCGGAGCTCATTATTCGCTCGGAGTCTCAGTTTTAATTTTCGCTTACCCCTTGCCTTCTGTGGAAATGTGCTTGTTTCCCCCTTGCGGAGTCTTTCCCGGACTCGCCTTCGACTTTTGTTCGTTTTCGTCCGAGAGTTAGTGTGAAGTAAATCGAAGATTAGGTGTAAACAACGCGAAGTTAGGCAATTACTCGGTGTAATTGCTTTAGTCCTTTACGTCTTGACAACTGTTTGCCATTAGACAGGACATTATTGTAATTAAGATACGATGGCATTCATTCGATATTCAATTTCAATGACGACAAATAAAGCAAACTATACCGCTGCTTGAGTAAACATCTTGAGGCACTCAACACAGCAATATGAAACCGTCAAACCGATTAAACGTTTCAAACTTTTTTAAGATCTTAAGAACGTGTAAATTGTGTAATACCTATGGTTTCGTATCAAAAGGATTTTTTCACTTTTTATGACTGCAGATAATACGGAAAACGTACTAAATTTGTCTAAAAGGATTATACAATTTACAAAGCTCCTCGTTGCATGCTGCTTGACAAGTGCATGGCGTAAAGTACACATATGCATGCAGATATTTTAATATTTGATATTAAATTTTAATACACGCAAGTTGTTACAAACAAGTCGTTGTGACAAATCTGGAACAAAAAAAGTCATCATGCAACCTTATCACAAAGTGATAACGACTTGTTCCAGACTTGTCAACAATTGTTGGAAACACATCTTGACAAGCTGTGAAAAGCTGTGATACTCACACTTATGTGCCAATCTCGTTCCCCGAGCCTGCGATCCTCGGGAAGGAACGCGAGGCTCTGGGATAATCCGTTTCAGGGAGGAATCTGATTGGCTGTTGAAATGGAATGCGTAGTTCAATCTTAGCCATGCCAGGATTCTTGGCTTCCGGCAACGGATTATCCCAGAGCCTCGCGTTGCTTCCCGAGGATCACAGGCTGGGGGAACGAGATTGACTTATGTGCAAGATCTGACTCGTCCCCAGTTGTCAAGGAGACGATATATAGATCAGTGGACTGAGCAGTGTGCAATGGTGCATGATGACAACGACCATTATTTTTCAATCCTCATTCGGCGACTGGATGGGCACCAACCGGATGGGCACGAGTCAGGTGCCGAATTAACTTGTAGCGCTTTGGTGGCACAGTGGTCGCAGAGGTTTGGCCTTTGTAAGACATGAACAAATCAAACAACTTCAGAAAATATCCGAAAATTAAAGGAAGAATTTAAGGACTTTCAAAAACCCGCAGGCTTTCGAGGGTCAAATAAAATTATACTTTTACTAAGTTTACGGTCACATTTTATCCCACGTTTTCTAAGCCTCACTCAAGAAAAGGTGACTAACTGACCGACTTATTCCCCTTCAAAAATTTGGAAATGCTTTTACTCATTCCCAAAGTTCCTAAATACCACAGTTGACGTAGGAACAAAGCGTGGGGGGGGGGGGAACACAACCCCATGCATGTCTAACTTTCTCTAACTGTCTCAATGACGTCAACTTGAGTAACAATAGTCTCCATACATAAATATATGCAGGGTCTTAGCTAGAAGGCCGTGTTATCGCCGCCAAAAATGGAAAACACGGTAAGATTAAATGAACGCGGCTTCATTATTTATTTTTGGCCGTGTTGGTTCATAAAATAAAGTGTTGCTACTTACAACATACAGAATTTCTTTGTAAAATCTACTGTAGTTGTTATTATAATGTCAGTGCGAAATATGAGCGTATGCCGTATGCTCGCCTTGTATTTGGTTGAAAAGCACGCCAACAATAGACGATACCTGTGGTTGTTCTCAGCATAACTGGAATCGTGTTTTTGGCTATTCAAGGTAATTGACATGTGCCCACCCTGGAAATTTAGAAACACGCCCAAGATATAAAATGCTAGCTAAAACCCTGCTCAATATGCGAGGATTAATAAAACAAACTTTTCACATGAGTCATGAAATAAAACGCGAGGAGTGGTGGTGAATATGAAATACTGTAAACCAGTATCTGTTCTACACAACACATTTGAAATCATAAAATAAGAATGCAAGAAAGTGAACTGCTGTCCCCGACCTGTGAAACCTTTTGGAATAATCATACCATAAGAAAACTTAAAAATTTATTCTCAGTATAAGAACATGAATACGTAAAAATTTAATGAAATCGTTTGTGAAGATTCGCGTAACAAATATATGGTTGCTGTAAGTAACAACGGTAGGAATGGAAACTAGTAACAACGGTAGGAATGGAAACTTTAACGGGTGTCTGAAACTGAAAACCTAACCGGAACCCTGCCCGGCACACCGCGGGACCCAGGCAAAATATTCCAAGAAGGATTTGCACGTGCTTTTAAACAAAATTGACCCTAAAACATATCTGAAAGCAATAAAATCAAGAGTTATTCTGATGCTATCATTTTTTGTAGCAGTTGTTCTCATGTACTATACATGGACGTCCTTCCTTTTGATTACGAATTTGGATTATAATGCATCAGCCACGAGCTATATATTCCTAATTCAGAGATCCCAAAGGTACGTATAGTGCAAAGGTCAGATGACAAATGTGAAGCATACGGCATGGCCATAAACAGCAAGAATGTATGTATCTTATGATAAAAATTTATAATCATATACTCTTAGGTTATCATAATATCATAATAATAATATGATACCCGTCCATATATAGTTAATATACGAAATAAGCGTCATGCCAAATTTGTTAAAAATACAAAATGTTTGACTGGGTTCCGATGTTCTAGGTGGGTTCCGGGCTGTTCCAGACACCCACTTTAACTAATTGATATTATATAGAGAAGTTGGGCATCTCACGACACCGACACAATTTGGATTCAGAAGGTTTGAAATTATATCCAAATCGTTGCGATGACCTTTTTGTCCATATAGGTTTGTATTCCTGAAATGAGTAGCATCCAAGTGTGCAAGGGTGATAAAAGTTTATCTCAGTTTTTAGAATGAATAACAAAAAGTTTATCTCAATATTTAAAATCTTAATTGTCCATTAATTTCGTATCAAGCTTCAACCATTGCAATTTCAATCCAGGTCAAAATCATTCGCACACCTCTTAAATATAGACGACAGATGGTGTTTCCTTCAAACACCCCCCCCCCCTCCTGTAAACCAATGTAAATCCTTTGTGTCATCAAATAACAAGTGTACCTCATGTCATATCGAGAACCAACATAAAAAGTGGAGTGGAAGATTGGCGTCTATTGTATGAACGTTTGCCTAATTACATGAATTTTGGCCTTGATTGTTGTTTGCCGTAATGAATATCATTGAAACCAGTAATCCTCCTTCAGTGATGTCAGTCATGAAGTCAATCATATTAGCGATCTAAACAAGTATAATTATGTGCATTACAGATGTTGGCAGTTTCTAAATTGAACTGTACAAATACCAACAAATGGTATAAAAATTGCACTGTATATGCATACTTACATCCTCGTCCTCCCCCTCTGCCCCGACCTCTCCCTCCTCCTCTACCACGACCACCACCTCTACCTCCCCCACGACCACCGCCACGACCTCCACGAAAACCTAGAAAAAGAAAGTTTTATGTCATTAATAATCTTTGATATTGGGTTTGGATGCTTCTTATACGTACGCAACAATAGAGGGAAATGATGTCAATAGATGAGTTGCAAATTAGTTTTTCTTTGTCTTTCGTTGCTAAAATTCTTTTAATGATATCATATCCGGCAACTTTGACAGCCAAAAAAATGTTATATTACTTCTCGACCAAAATCTTACACATATCAAAGATCGTATTTAAGGATATTAAGTATATGTCATGCATTTATCATAGTTATTTTTACAGATTCGTTTGAACATAATAGAGAGGTTCAGATTTGATTTCCGCTTCCGCTACCTCTCACTGGCTTATTACGCAATTAAAATACGCATCTGATTGGTCAATCAGGCGGTATATCAAAGATCTGATTGGTCAATCAGATATATCAAACGCATCTGATTGGTATATGGTCCCTTAATGGTGGCGTTAGTGGAAGTCAAATCTCAACATCTCCATTGGAGATCTTAATACTACTACGTTCACACTAAGCTGCTCCGGGAGCGGTTTGAAAACGGCGCAGTGAAGTCATAATTAGCCGTCTCGTTCACACTGCGCCGGAGCGAAATTGTTTGAAAACGTCAGTGTGCCGCAGTGAACTGCAATAACACTGAAACGCTAACTGCAGGTAAACATGCCCATACTTGCCCGAAGCCAAGATGGCGCTCCTCGCGAGGCTCAGCGAGCAATAAATTAACTGTCAAAAGGACTAGGAAGAGTTTCGAAGAGCGAGAAATTCAGTCAAAAGTTTGTTTTTGAGCGAAAATCAGCAAGAAAAACGTTTTTTATCAAAAGGCTTCTAGTTCTAAGTATTTTACATCCACTATTCACTAACAGCAAAAACTTGGGTAACAGCTTGATATTCAAAATATTACACAAATTTGAACGTGCCGAAAATAACTTCGCACTTCGACTCCTGAAAAAATAACTTTAAAACTGTTCTACGTTCTGGAAACATGTTTTGTATTAAATTTCAGGTATTGTTGAAAGTTTTTAGCTTTTTTCCTTGTTGAAATACAGCAATTTAGTGCTCAAAAACAGATGTCCTTTCGCTGACGTGTTTTCCACTCCATATACGTACTTGGCGGCCATCATGAGTGGCTTCAAAGATGGCGACCAAGTTATCGTTCCAGTTCCCTTAGAGTTCACTGGTTTGCCGTAACAATTTGAGCACGGTTTCTTTACCGTTACTTTTTTGTACCGCTTGCAAACCAAGCATCTCAGGTCTCAAAACAGAAAATTTGAATGCTTTTCGTTTAAATTTCTTTGTTCTATTTGAAACGTTTTGGGTTCACATGAATGCTAATTTAACTAGTAAATAAACTGTAACGACACTGTAAATTCTGCCCGCATTATTTCGTTCCGGTGTAGTGTGAACGTAGTCTAAGATCCGTGGTTACGGCAAACCGCTAACTGTAAACGGCAAACTCCAAATCGATTTTGAACATATAAAGTTCTATACATTTTCTATGACTAAGTAACTAATTTACGCTTCGATTTTAATACACAAATTGTTCTGACTTCTAACAGCTCATGGTCGTCCTCGCAATGCGATTCAAAGTTTGCAGTTAGCCGTTATAAAGCTGTTTGCCAAAAACGTTGTTTACCTCTGCCTCCACCACGCCCCCTGCCACCTCTTCCTCCTCTCACTCCTCCTCGTGGACCTAATTAAAGTGGACAAAATTGTTATATAAAAATATTAACAAAGTAAATCTACTATAGGTAATCAAGGATGGTTTCAAGTGCAATTTGAATAAAACATGCACAAGTCAGTTTTGATGCTCTTTTACCTATTTGCTGCCGAGCGAAGCGAAGGCAGCCACATATTCTTGACGACGTTTACAGTTTTTACTCGTGCCAGATCCCCGCGCGACTTATGTATTTTAGTCAAAGCAAATCTCAATTTGTTTGTCGGTCATTCGGGTCGCATTTTCTGACGTCACAGAATGACGTTGTGTACAAATTTATATACGCAGGAAGTTTACGATGACAATCCGCTTCCGAAAGCTGTGTTCGGTGCGCCGTAGCTTCATAGGAGCTATGATATTCAATTTTGATCATATGGCATATGGCATATTTTTCCATTGCACGAAGCTTATTTTACAATATTACTATTTGATTTTGGAGGAAAAGCATTATATTTTTGAAGGTATGTTGATTATAATAGTTATTTGAACGTTCGATCAAAGTGATAGTCTGTTTTTATTAAATACATTATAAAAATTCGAATTCTATCTCCTGTAGGTGTATATTTTGGTGTGTGTTCGTGGCGATCATTTGGTCAAATCAAGTCAAAAGGGGCATTATGTTTTTCAAAACAGCAGTGTATTGTAAACTCGCTGTACCTGTACCGAACTTGCTAGCGATGTGTGAACTAGCTATATTTTATACTTTATACTAGCGAAGTGGGATCTCGCTAGCTGGGCAATCGTTGATGTTGGCAATAATAAAGTTGTATACTGATTCTGTCAAAAGATCAAGCCAACAAGGTATTGTATAACAAATTTTACAAATATATAGGTTGTATGTCAATTAGAAAATTGACAATAAAAATAGTTATATATAATACAGTAAAATGATTATTAATATTGTTATTATGGGAATATGATATATGCAGTAATTAAAGCCCTGCATAAAAGAACCAGTGAATTTTGACTTTAGGCGTAAAAAAAACCCTGTGGTTCCGGTTTCATACCGTGAAAAAATTAGGGTCGGCAGGTCGGAAATAATTTTTTTTTTAATATTTTTTTTCATGGTTTTGGCAGTTTTTTGCTGGGCGATTTGCAGTAGAGTCCCGACATCAATATTAACTAGAGATGCGTATTTCCTATGGACGAATTTAGGCAATTTGGTTCAATAATTAGTGTGACAACAGACGCCATTTTGGCACGCTGTATGAGCAGCCCGCAACCACCTGGAGAAAATAGGGTCGCACGGTCAATCGCGTTGAAAATGTAATAGGGTCGGCAGAAAAAAATAGGGTCGGTCGGGAACTGGAACCACAGATATTTTTTTACGCCATAGGCTGAAGTTGTTCTTATATAATCTTACTTCACACTATACTTTTTTTTATATTCTACACATTAAATAGGGACTGTTGTAGCATAAAACTATTGCTATGACACTAATATGGTTCGTGTTGCATATATCTAAACTTTAAAAAAAATTTAAAACTTGTATTTTGGGTACTTAATAGCCCAAATTTCATGCTAGTGGTTCTTAACCTACTGGTTCTTTTATGCGGGGCTTTACTGTGTATCAATAGACCTTATGCATAATGACGTCTCAAGGCTTGATGCCTGCGAGGAAATAATGCTGGTCTTAGTAGTCATCACAGTCCAGGAAAATTTCGATAGTGGCCATTTTGAATTGTTCAATTTTCCTGGGCAATGACTACTAAGACCAGCATTCCTTGCGGGCATCAAGCCTTGTGACATCATTATGCATAAGGTCAATTGAGCAGTACGATGTCCGAATTGGAGCACACAATTGTATATGAATGAAAAGTTATCTGACTTTTTTCCCTAATGCTCACAATTTCTTTCTTGTTATATAGTTTTGCAGTTCTGACTGAGTACAACCTTAATCATTTGTACAATGAATGGTGTCATATGAAGCTGACATATTAAACAATTACAATCTTAATCATTTATACAATGAATGGTGTATATGATGCTGACGTATCACATATTAAACAAAAATGTTAACAAAATAGATTTTGTCTCCCCATTGGCAGATTGTTCTGTTGTTCTGTGGTGGGGTAGCCTTGAAGGTGCCATTAAAACGATAATTGGGACAAAAACTGACTTTAATACTGGTAGTATTTCTATGTATGAAATTGTTATTAAATTCTACATATCCAATGATTCATTCAAGTATAATTTATTATCGTTTGTTATATATGATATTGTACAGTATTCAGTGGCAAGCTAGCCATGACAACTGGTCATGATATGCTAATAAACCTGCATCTATTTGAATAATGCAAATCATTAAAAACTTGCATAGCATGACCTGTAGACTTTCGCAAAGTCCTTCATCTTTGTTTAGAACGAAGGAATTTTCAAGGAAGTAATTTCTTGAAGAGTAAGGAATTTGTGGAAGTCAATACAATTAGAATATTTAGCTGACCTTCGACTTTGTGCAAGGTGTTTTCGTATTCAAATTGCACTTTTCCTACCTCCTGAACAGGTGTCTTAGGGGTGCTTTACCGCCTTTACGTGCTTATGTGATGGAAGGCGGGGTGAGGCAGCACTTTCCTTGCGATAGTAACTTCTAGTAATCACATACATAAAAATGTTCGAGACAATTGTAGTTTTAACTCCAGTGACAAAGTTTTCCTGCTTCGTTATAACACATTTTACAACGTTTACGGTTTCAAAATTTCACTCAGCCATATAAGTTTGGTCACCCTTTTTTATGGAGGCTCCCTATACAGTTTCTTCTGAGGCTCATTTAGCCGAATTATCCAGACGTCATTCTCGCGTCCCGCGTGTAGAATATTCGTGGATTATTTCACACAAGCCGTGAAAGTATATTTAGCCAATTTTATAGTGTTTATCGTAGAAAGAAAGATTCCATGCAGTATTATATTATCTTACATTCAAATTAATTAACCTGTTCTTATGCTTTTGTTTAGCACTGATCCTTTAATTAAAACAGTGACATAAATATTACTATAATCTATAATGTAGCGAATTAAAACTTGCGTTTTAACTTTTAAATGCTATAAGTTTGCAAGGTTCACTATTATATTATCCCTTCAAAGTAAAGGAGAGATCTATAACTCTTCCGATTAGATTAACTTTAATCATCTATAGTATTTTATCACTTTTATGTGCTGTTTCATTAATCATTATGCTATGAAATAAAACAACAGTTGTTTTATCGGGAAACTTTTCTATCATTTTAACAATTACAAGGTTAATAAATATTATTAAAGGTTAATAAAAGTTACCGTGTTAAATATATATTCTCGATTTAGTATTTTCGTCACAAACACAACATTTCTTCCAACTGTAAAAAATACTAAACTTGTATGCATGCATGTTTCCAATCATTGTTGTCCACGAAATGCAAGCCGCAAGCGGGACCCAACGCGGGAAGAAAGATTTTTCAAGCATTTCGCCGAAAAATAGCGAACTGAAAATGGCATTTTCACATATTTTTGCACATGTTGTTACAGAACTTTGCGCTGTTGTCACAGATTTTCCCACTGGCATGCACTGCCACTGCTGTTTGGAATTAACTGCGCTGAAATCAATCAATCAATCAATCAAACTGAGTAACATTTTTAGGTATATTATTATTCTCATTATTACCCACCTTAGATAGTTATAACTTAATATAGGATAAACACCGAAAGAATTTCAAAACTTTACAAACATCACGAATCAGATTGAAATATAACAGCATATTAAATTAATATAGTCTAACACACCTCTTTGTCCCGCTGGTCTTGGCAAGAACCTTGCCAAAGGTAGTAGTTTTTCAGGATCGATAAAAAACTAAAAAAATTGATTAACAGGTATTAAAAGATATATAACATGCAGAGGTAAAAATACTAAGTTAAAATCCACAAAAAATATGAATCACAAATAGATTTTCATGTTTTCAATGGTTTTCATGAACCATTGTAAAATGCTTCGACTTCCTCATTTCATGCACATACCAAATTTTTCATTCTGCATGCAATCACTGCATTTTTATAATATTATTAGCGAACCAATCGTTAAATTTAGAAGAAACACATGCACCACTGAAAAGCTAAATGGCTAAGCAGCCTAAGCTTTAAAATAAATGAAAAATAAACGTTTTATTCTATCGTTATATAGTAATCGTTTCGACATCTACAGTTGAGTTGAGAACTTTTTTATACATCCTGTATATATGCACAGTATATCATGCATTTATAAATTTCTATATGTAAATTTAATATACATGTACCTTTTGTTTATCATTAAAACTGGCTGCATTCATTCCAGGCCCAAGTTTGACTGAAAAGAACTTGTCTTGTTAAGGTATTAAACATGCAAATCAAACTTAAAGATACTTAAAATATAAAATATATATGGAAATGCATACAAACAGGAAACAGGTTAAGAATTGTAGTTTAAGAAAGCATGTTTCGTGTCTTTAATTGCAATAAAATATTGAATACAAATGAGAAAAATACTTAAAGGGCTGCACATGTGACACAAGTCCGGCAAATCCTTACTGAACTGTTTGCACCTCCAAAACCATGCGCAAAGTAGTGAAAAACCACACGCTTAGTTGAAATGAATTTTAAAAAATAGAATTTTCACATGTACCAATAAGCAATTAATTCAATAAATATACTGTACCCTGTTGAAAACTAAGTTTCAAAACTAAAATATTTACACAGTTCAAACTCTAACTGTGTTACACTTTTGCAGTGACGAACCATTACATTACTATGTTGCCTAAATTTTGTCACTGCATGTATGTGGCTTTTGCGGTACATTTGCTAAATGAAAATGTGTAAAGTCGAGAGCATGCGTAGTTCAGTAATTGTGAGACGTTCTCTGATCGTAAAATTACTTATCAAAGGTTTAGACTGACGGGATTTTCGTCACTTCTACATGTCTTCATGTTTGTTGTTGTTTAAATGTTGTAAGTGTAAACGGTTGTCACATCCCTAATCGACAGATTCGAAACTAGTTTTCACTCTTTTATATTTTATGCACTAAAAGACTAACACACATTTTTTCAACAAAGGCTGTTATTTAAGGCAAAGTGTAAGTGTTTAGGATTGAAAACAATCATTTGCAAGTGAAATCTACGGTGGCCCGTTAGGGACACGCTTGTTCCGTAGAAAATCACATTCGTTCTGTGTACTTGAAGTAATTTTCCTTAATAACAGAGCGTTTCTGTATAAATGTGCGGCGTTTCCGTAGAAATTTCAGACGACTTCCGCAGAAATATAGACGCTTTCCGAACAAATGTAGACTTCTTCCGTACAAATGTAGATGCCTTCCATAGAAATATTATACATGCCTTCCATACAAATGTAGACGCCTTCCGTGAAATCTAAAACTAATGCGCGCGCATAGTCTGGTAACTATGGTAACTTCAGTTGGTATATTATGCAAAATGGCGGCATGTAAACAGTGTACGCACGAATTTGTTCTTCCAAATTGCAATTTTTGTCCCAATAATGGCGGTCATAAAGCAACAAGTAAGATCGTACAAGCAATTGTAGTATTATGACAAATGTTTGGTGTGATGTAAATGAACGCTTTGACAGTCAAAGGCTTTGTTGTTTTTATTCACGGAAATCAAAACTCCACATGGGATACTATATAAAATTGTCTACATTTGCACGGAAAGCGTCTATATTTCTGCGGAAGTCATCTGAATTTTCTACGGAAACGCCGCACATTTATACAGAAACGCTCTGTTATAAATGAAAACTACTTCAAGTACACAGAACGAATGTGATTTTCTACAGAACAAGCGTGTCCCTAACGGGCCACCGTAGAAATCATAGCCCTAGCTTTGTCTTTGAAATATGCATAAAGCACCAAAACGAGGCTAGTCATGCTTGTTTGCAAACATTAGAATTAACGTCGGTATTTTTAACGTTTAATTTCTCAAAGAGAATACATGGTGTTATACTTAGACTTTGTAAAACTGTTAGTTTTGAAGTATTCTACAACGCGGCGGCGATTACCTTGATCATGATTGAAATTAATTTTGGAAGTAAAACGAATGACAACTATTTTTCGAATCGGTCTATTGCTGGGCAGTCAAAAGTTTGTGGAAAAATAAATCTACGACCAGAGAAAGTCTCATAATACTAAAAATTGTGCTCTTTACACATTTCCCAAGCAGAGTAGCGATGTTTTTGTTGATGTGGTTTTTAGGTACATACAGCCAAAACATGAAATTGCATAGCTGTTAGCTATATTTTTTTAAATAACAGCGATCAATACATGAAAATTGTCATGAAGAGTTAACTTTAGTCAAGTCATTTTTAAATCGAGTGTATATTACAAAAATATTGCGATGCCAATGCACTTTTTTGGGTACACATAACGTAACTCAACTTGAAACTTTGCATGCAATAGAGTGCACTATGCATGTAGTTTTAGTTAGCTTACATATAACATCAGAATTCCTACTCTGCATTAATTTTACAGTCTCAAATCGGATGGCAGGATACATGCAAAAGGATACAAAGTCATTGATTGGTCCAAAAATATCATCAACTTTTCCAACTTGTGACTTGTCTTTAAGGTAAACAGGTGCATTGAAATATGGAATTTTTTCATTTGAACATTTGCAGACCAAGTCTTCTTCACATGGATGTAAATATTCGCCAAGCTCTAAAATTGAATTTTATTATCACTACGAATCCTTGTTTTACTCAAGGCTGGATTTTGGTGGAAATGCTGGGGGGAGGTGGAAACCAATGCAGCAATCGTAGCTCACGGCTCCCATGGAATGTTAGGGCTTAGAATGTACTCCCCCCCCCCGATAAAGTCAACGTGACGTATGCATGTACGTACTCATGAATTATGACTGTACAACTCATCCAATTTTATCATTCATCACATTACTAAAAAGTCTCTTTCGAAAAACATTCTTACAAACACAAAGAAATTTGCTAAATTTTCACATTCATTCCCATCCCTACTCCCAAGGTGAGGTGCATGACTTTTCAGGGGCGGAGGTGCAAAACGATCTCAGGGGAGGTGCGCACTACGCCACCTACCCTCAAAATCCGGGTGTGGCTTTACTTGTACAAATACAAAGCTCCCAAGCTAACTTTTAGCAATTCCCGATTATTTTGAATTGGCGCTTTACGTGTTCAGGATGACATTCGCTGATAACTTTTGAACTTCGATTGCATAATTCATTTCGTGTAGAAGTTTTTAAAATGTCGAAAACCCTGTCAACGTTGCTTGTGAATTAAGAACATAAATATCTTTTTAAAAGTTAATGGTTTTTAAAGTACATACTTAATGCACGTGGTTCAGCGATGTATCAAATAAAAAACAATTTATGATTTCATTTGGGGTATAGAATAGCTTAGAATTCTCACGTTTCTACAATCGTGGACATGACATGTAAACACAGTACTGCCATGTCCCTCGTGTGATGATTGCATGAGGAACATGGCAGTATTCTGGACCCTCTATTGCCGGCAAATTTCTTGTGGAAAATTCTTTTAAAGTTTCGGTGAACACAATGGCAGGACAATTAAGGTTAAGTATGTTGCATCTAACAGGATGCTATAATTCGCGTACTTACGTACCGGAGGTACTGTACGCCAATGTTACGGTCAGGTACTTCTTTGTTTTCAGCCATGTACCACGTAGGTACGCGAAACTCTTGCTATCTGCGTACTTACTTTTTGTTGCCGTTGGTACCACGTGACCTTTCCAAGCCCAAGGTATTCAATATCGTAATTTATATCATGTGTCTGACATGTTTTGGCATGAAACATGATTGGACTGATGGCACCAAGAAACGTTGGAGTCGATTGTTTGTAGTCTGAACGTACTTTTCAGAAACCTGTACTTTATGAACCTTATTTTAATGACTAAGTACACATTGAGTACTGAGTTCGTGCAAGTACGCGGCAACAACCATTGGCGTACCCGGTACCAGTCAGGTACGACTAAAAATCGTGAATTATCGCACCCTGTCTAAAATACCAGCCTTATTATTTATAATATTTTTGTATTTGACTAACATTTATTAATAGACTTCCCACAACAACAATGTAATCATTTGGGACCCTGGTGTGCTGAAACCTTTGCTGAACAAGCTTTATAGCATAGTCCTATGGTCTAAGGACCTCTGTGATACTGTAGATACACAGCGAGTTCGTGTACAACTGAGAGATCATCTTTAAAACAAGTATCAGTAGACCAGATAAACATTTCCCAATAAAAATGCTCACAAAGCACAGTTTGTGTACATGCACACTTTATGCACTGCACTAAGCATTGTATTCATAGCAGGCAGAAACTTACTCTAATACACATGTCAATCAATACAACTACATGCAAAATCCATGTTCCTGCTAGGTCATGTCACCACTATCTCTTTCATTCTTGGGTTTTACTCACATGACGTTTTAGCATAATTTGACCCAAGTGGGGGTCAATCATTGAACTGGGGTCAACTAAAACAACACAGAAACAATTTGGCTGTAAACGAATCTTATGTAAATGAGTTCTCTGAATATCATAAAAGCCAGTACAAAACAGTACAAAAGCCGTCCTTTACGCTTAACAAAGACCCTTGACCCCCAGGGTGACGTCATATACAAAACCCGAGAATTGTTGAGTGTAAGAATGTGGCAACCATGGATTGTTGGGGAAAGAGGACAGCCTCCCAATAATTTCAAACAATGAAGAGTTGGTTAAAAATAATTTGCCATTCAGTAGTACTGTAAGTGCTACTGAGAGAAAATGTGCTGAATTTTCTTAAAACGTTTGTGGTCAGCAGCTGGTCAATACCCAATAACCATTGCCTGACAGGTACTGTACCTGTACAGTCATTCTGAAATGAAGTATAGTAAGTACTGCAGTCAAAATAATTTGGTCATTTCATTGGAAACTGAACGTTGGTCATTACCACATGGCACCATCCAATCGTGATTCATGCCCCACAAGTGTGTGTGCACTGTTAATGACTTTGTGTACACAGTGTGTGTGCAAGGTATTATACTAACTTAGTTAATATTCGTAGCGAATTTAGAGCCCACAGTAATTGGTTTTAGTCGGGCAGATAGAAGGAAAAAACTCACCATATCGAGGGGCAATTCCATTTTGCCTTCATATTGTGCCCTGATGGCTAGTAAGTACGTTTCTGAATGTTGGCCGCGTTAAAATTTCTTGTGGGCTCCTGCCGACACGTTTTTCTTCGAATGTTGTATTAAACTCTATTACAGTTAAAAAATGTAAAATTTCAACTACATTTCTAACACAAATGACTTACATCATTCGAAAGCTTGCAAAAAACTACATATAACACATTTAAACGGTTACCCGGATTTTTCAAGTTCTTCTTGAGTTATGAGCTGTTGAAAGTGTATTTTCAGACTAGTACCCAGGAATTTTGCGAGATTTTGGCTTATTTTTCACATTTGAAGCGGCAATAACTCGAAAACCGCTTGAAAATCCCAACTATCCATTTAAATGTCTTATATGTAGTTTTTTGTTAGCTGTCTATTGATGTAAGTCATTTGTGTTAGAAATATATTTGAAATTTCACATTTTTTAACTGTAATAGAGTTTAATACAACATTCGAAGAAAAACGTGTCGGCAGGAGCCCACAAGAAATTTTAACGCGGCCAACATTCAGAAACGCACTTACTAGCCATCAGGGCACAATATGAATGCAAAATGGAATTGCCCCTCGATATGGTGAGTTTTCCATAATTTTGATCCTCTATCTGCCTGACTATTTATACAGTTGTGGAATCCCCGCCTTTTGTAATTAATATTGTTGTAGATATGCTGTGGTATTTGTGTGTGTTTTTTTATGTCGCGTCTTGACTGTACATTTAAATTTGGCAAAGTTTAATAAATAAATAAAGTTTTAAAAACAACCATTGATGATGATATCAACCTGGCAAACAAATGACACATGTATTTTGTGCATGAGATTTAAGTTCAGTCATTTATAAAATGTGAGAAACTGTTATTTAATTTTGACTTATCCACCGTTTAAGCTAACCAGGCTTCAAACAACCGCCCCCAGAAGTTTAAATGTGCAACTTTCACACTAAATGTGGGACACATGACTGGTCTGGCTGCCTTGCTAATGGACGGGCCTGCTCCCTGAGTATATACAGTATGTTAATTTATTGTGGCCTTTATTTCGCCATGCAACATTCATGCATGATGAATTCCCCACCCACATGCAATTGTGAAGAGAAGCTGGAAGGGGAAACTAAAAATGTATTTGAAGTGGCCTAATCCGGTATAGTGTACAAGTCTGGTCTGAAACTTAACATGCAACCTGCAATTTGGCTAGAACTTCATGGGGGTCATGTCCATATCACAGAATAGGAAGTTATAGCAGAAGCGTAACTCGAGCAAATATTTGTCCCCGTTTTTACAAGCGATTCGTCATCAATCACGCCATCCTGGCTAGTACAACCGGCACTTTGTACCTACCAAATCCTGATAAAAACTTCCGGCTGTACTAGCCAGGATGGCGTGGCCTGACGTGAGCGAGTTAAAATTTTCGTGGATGTCAAACAATAAGGGAAACGACTAGAGTTACGCTTCTGGTATAACTTCCTATTCTGTGTCCATATTAAAGATTGGCAGCCAAGCAAAACAAAATGTCAGCCATCTTATATGGATGTAGCCCTAATTGAATCTCAGTTCTTCATCTCAATAAATATACCAGGCTTAACTGGTTCAAATAATAATTTATTATCCCATGCCTCAGCAGAAAGTAGTTTCTGAGTTTTGCAAACCAATGTTGTGATTGGACAACTTTAAGTTTCACATGTCAAAATAGTAATGACGTGGGGATTAACTTTGTGATTTCCAACAGTCATTTTCTCTTTCGTGTTGAGTAGCTTTTATACTTAACTGTCTCTGGTGATGCCATTGAACAACGAAAGCTTAGACAATTGTAATATATTTTAATATTTTTAACAAGAACAGTCACATATCTTGGCCTCACATGGAATCAAACACACCCAAAACCAAAATAAAGTTGCAAGCCAGAACTAATATTTTGCCCATCGTTTCGAATAGTACAGTACAGTATGTACATTTTAATCATACATTGAAAATGATTTTGCTAACTATTCTTATTCTTTGACATTGGTATTACATATTCTCAGCAAGTAATTTACACAAACTACTTGCTGAGAATGATTGAAAGTTCAGTTTCATACACACTCGGGCTGCTTAACAAGCCATTTTGAATATACAGTGTAACAGTAAGCTAAAAATTTGTTTACTAAATTTTAAATTCCCATTTCATTTGTTAATAATTTGAAAAGTTTGCTTTTAAAAGGAGGTTATCTTGTAACACATATGGTTCCCAAACTTCACTACAGGATAACAGAATTGGAATTACTGTCATCAAACACAACTTTAAAAATAATTTAATGTTGAATAATTGTACTAAAAAGCATAAAAATGAGAAGATATAACTGCGGGGTTCTTTCTATGGGTATTACCTGTGATAAATTCAAATGAATAAATAGTAACATGCAAATGAAATGTTTTATAGAAAATTGTCACACTAGTTGGTGCTGGGTATGTCGATATATAAGTGTGTTTGTTTTAGGCAGTTGCGATATATCGATATTTGCGATAAATATCGATATTTCAAAAATATCGATATATTCGATATTCAATTTTTCGCATATTGAAAATATCGAAAGTTGTAACTAAACAACTTAATCTCGGATTATTCGGCAATTATTGTTTTCATTGGTGAAGTTTAGACAACATGTGTATGGCGGCAGTTGCAAATTTATGATACAAGTGTGTGCCAGCTAGTGGGCAATTGAAATTAAAAGCTGTGTTGGAGATGACGGATAAACCGTTGTTAATAAATCTTTGAGACGTACCATGACTGGTTTCATGCACTTCTTTTTAACTGTTTGTGATGCGTATACATGCAATTCGATATAGTCGATTTTTTTTTCGATATCGATATATCGATTTTTGTCAATATCACAACTGCCTAGTTTGTTTTGCAGTTGGAAATTTCTCTCGGCCATATGGTACTTGCAGTCACTGTAAAATTTCACCGTGAAAATCCAAGTACGTAGCAACCATTGTTGGTACATACTGTGACAGTCTTAAAAATGAGTATGAATCAACCTAGCCTGGGTACAAATTGTTAATGACCAAGGCTGGGCCAGGGTGGAAAGTTTGTAGGTTGTGCCGAAGATCGTCGGCATGGAAAATTCATAAATTTGCTTCGGCGCACAGAAAACAAACTTTCCACCCTGGAGGCTGGGTATGAAAAACAGCCGAAGAAATCCATAAACTGACAGAATGATTACATATTGAAAGAATATATAAAGAATATATGCACTAGTGTGCATATAAACTAAACTGTACACGAAATCAATAACCTCTAACTCATTATATTTCTCACAAAGATCAAACACAATATTTCATACTCACCTACAACATGTTCAGGAGGTCCATAATCTTGAAAACGACCCCCTCCTCTGCCACCCCTACCTCGAGGTGTACCACGACCTCCACGAAAACCTCCACGACCACCTCCACGACCACGGAATGACATAGTTTTTACTTGAACACTCGCAGAATAAAAATATAGTATATTACGTGAACAAATATTCTAAATACAAACTTGGATATAAACAAAATGAACACGTTGTCTTCGATTAGCCACCACGTGAAGTCCTGGGAGCGAGGCTGAGCGCCAAGAAGGCCAGGTTACTAAGTTATCAATTCCAGTCCTCTCCACTGGCCCTCTCCAACCACTCCACGTCCACGTAGAGTGTAATCACAGAGTAGAGACATACAGAGACGTATTAAACTGACCGTCGTAAACACTGCGGAAGATTACGTTATCATGTACCCACTTTTTTTCAGGCGACCGGACGAAAAATGATCAACATGCTCGTGCTCAGCAAGTTTAAAGTGAGTCGTCATCAGGTCGTCATCCAATCAGATACATGCATCTAGTAACTTGCCGAGCATGCGCACAAAAAAAGTGGGTACACTAGTTACGTTTCTGTATGTCTCTACTCTGTGGTATAATTAAAGATTTTTGTCAAAGATCATTATCAAGCAAAAAATCTCAATTTAATTTTATTAACAGCACCCATCTGCTATTATACTGTACATCTAACCGTTTTCACTCAAGGCATATTTCTAGATCCTACTGGCGCTCATTAGCGTCTGGCGGTCTGGGTGCAAAGATGCATATTTATTTCCTAAAATGGGAAAAATCAATGTTTATGAATCTAGCTTTACCCCCTTCGATCTATTATTAATACTGCGTTAGATCTTCTCGATTCGTCAATGGCGCGCTTTCAATGATGCATCATAAAATCAAGTAGTACAATTTTGTATCTGTACAAACGACATAGTAATATCACTTCAATTAATACCTTACATGAATTGATATCATACGGTAGCTCAATCTCGTTCCCCGAGCCTGCGATCCTCGGGAAGGAACGTGTGGCTCTGGGATAATCCGTTTCAGGGAGGAATCTGATTGGCCGTTGAAATGGAATGTGTAGTTCAATCTTAGCCAGTTCAATCCTGGCTTCCGGCAACGGATTATCCCAGAGCCTCGATCACGTTCCTTCCCGAGGGTCGCAGGCTCGGGGAACGAGATTGACGGTAGCTATCTTTCAAGTGCCCAAGAATTCTAAGCGTGCAGGCATTCTATGTGTACAGTTGATGTATACAGTTCAGTGGCACGCGCTGTTAATGACGCGTCCGCCGTCCGGCAAAGTGACGGTTGTTGAATGACGTATGTTTCTACGTGATCAGTTTGCTTAGTGCCTAATAGCTAACTGCTTACTTTGCTTTTTGAAATTCGAATTTCAAGTGAAAAAGAAGAAAAGCTAAGAAAAAGTAAGTTATTGCAACTTTTAAAAGATTGTAAGCAAGAGAGTACAGATTGATTTTACGGCGCATCCGCGGAGCGCACTTGATTTATACTGTAACTTTTAGTAAAGATTAAAATAAACAATTAGTGACTATCTATTATATAAGAACGTTTTGCGGTTGCATTCAGCGAGCTTGCTGGTAGCGTACTTGGTAAAGGCGCTGCGTACAAAATTTTAATTTAAATAAAATACATGATCTCGTCTTCGTTTGGTCCAGACTTTATGTGTTAATAACCATCTCAAATTGTTTATTAAATCTTTACCGGTCAGGGTTAGAAAATGTTTTAGCATTGGAATCGGTTTGTTTTACAAAAAGTTAAGTCTAATTATAGTCACTATATCAGAGTATTGCCAGCAGTTTACTAAATAGCCGGTTGTCTATGAGCAAAATAAAAGTTAATTAAACAAATAATGGGATTAATGGCTTTCCGTTCATCGGTAGTTACAGGGTCTCTTTTAATTAAGGATGTGTAACTGGGGGGGGGGGTCGCGGGGGACCTAGAGAAGTTCCAGTCGGCAAATCTGTATCGCTGCAGCTTAACCAACAAATATATGCATGGTTTAACTAATACGTATACAACATAAGCCAGCAGATCAGGACCATATCTAGGATTCTGAGACGACCAAGTCGACCACCAAAGGTGCGAGCTATCAACTTATTCGTGAAGCTTTCGTGAAGCTCAGATAAGCTATTGCCAGCATTTTCAGGATCGTTCCAACAAGAAATTAACCTTATAAACAGTGACACAATTACTGCAATTTTACAGTCTCCCAAATGTAATCCAGTCCCAATAAGGCATCATGATGTGATGATGCGGTAATGAAAACGTGCGTGGTATGGTATTATCATTCACCACACTTCAAATTCTACAGTACTATATTACTTGTATTGGGGTACACTACTTAGCATTCGTCTTCTCAGAGCAAGATAGGGTCGATGTTTAAATTTCAGTCCTCAAATTCCTACCGAGTCAACTGATTCAGTTGACTCATAGCTAATTACGGGACTGCAGATGATGGCCAACTCAGAAATGTTAACAATCTAACATCATTTTAATTTCTCACTTTGATATATAATTACTGGTTGACCGGCCACCTACTGCAGGTAGTTCTTAGGGACCTCACTGGGGGGGGGGGAGGACAGAATTGCCGACTGGAGGGGCCAGTAAGAGGGCTGGGGAAGTCAGTCTATATGTTAAAAGAGGCCCTGGGTAACTAGTTATGCAAATAAATAGAAAGTTTGCACGATGCACGAATTGCATTGACTATTTATATATTCACTCATTAGTACATTACTGATGTTTTCTTTTAAGTTAATTACTTTGCTGGTTTTTTATACCTAGCGAATCACACTATGAATAGGAACGTTGCACATGAAGTAAAAAATTTTGAATTATGGATGCAAAAAATGAACCAACTACGTCAACAATTTGACGACGTTTCCTGGAGACCTGCGGCCCAGAGCTTTACAGTGAAGGACAGTTATAGACTGACTGGAGTCTATGAGATCAAAGATGAAAACGAAGTAATCTATATAGGAGGAAATCCATTCTGCAGTAATGTCAGAGACTGTTTAAACGCACATTTTAGTGGTAATGATGGTCTTGCAATTGGCTCATATCTTACTGGTGATGCGTCGAAAAACTGGAGTAAAATATTCGTTCGTTGGATGCCCGCCAAGAATCCTCCAGAGGGCGTGTATTATCTTTTGCAAGAACATAGAATGCGACATGGCTGTTACCCAAGATTTAATCAAGTACCAAGGCAAACCTGATCTGTAAAAATTATGCGTGATTAAATATTTGTAATGACGTTTACGTTGAATTGTACGAAATTACCAGACCCATCTAACTTTTTGTCTAAATCCCATCTATCCGACCCACTGATTTGCCAGAAAGTGCTTAGTCTTGGGTATGGAACTTTGTTTTCGTGATTAAGCTTGCGTTTTCCCTGCTGACAGAGGTCTCTATGCCAGCAAGGAAGCTTGCGTTTAAAGCCCTTTAATATCTTGTAACACGTGGCACATCATACGAAACCATACAGTGAATCAGTAACAAGATAAATGGCTCTTAAGACAAGACAAGACAAGGCAAGACAAAACAAAACAAGACAAACTAAGCACATGGTTAAGTACTCCGCCGCAAAGGATATTCCCAGAGAAGATCCGGGCTTACGGATCGAACATCGAAAGCTTTGCAGTAATAAATTTACGTTGTATTTTCACAAACAAAACTATTATATATTCCCAGTGGTTTAAATCCGAAATTCCTAATGAAAAAATATAGGCAAATCTTGGCAAATCCCAGCTCCGATTCTACCTTCTCGTGACCCTCATCGATGAATGCATCCATCTTTGTGTCAAGTACCCTTTTAATGCAATGTTTTGAAAGAAACTTTGTAGCAATTGTAATGAAGGGCGAGATAATTGGAGTCATACAGTCATAATTCATTAATACACAGTGGCGTAACGGGAGGGTGTCAGGGTGTCCAGTGACGGGGGGCCCCCGAACTTTAGGGGCTCCCGACAAAAATGACCTTAAAAAATTTGATAGCACATTTCTGGGGAATTGAATTAATTGAATTGAATTGAATAAAAAAAACCCATTCTCTGGAAAAGGCAAAATCCGTCGAGAAATTTCCCGAAGCTGCGACGGATTAAGTACGTCGCGGCTGAGGTAAAGGACGAGATACTAGAATGAATTAATTGCAATTTCATTGGGTATGTCCGTAAAAAAATTTGGACCCCTAAAATGGTACAAT